TGCAGTACTGCTTTTTGTGGTAGAGGCCTGTGGGTAGGAAAGGGGGTGGAGAGCAGAGGAATGCATTTCTCTAAGGCAGAGAACGGAAGTCCTGCTTCCTCACCTGGAACCCCCAGCACCTCTGCCATATTCACAGCCAGCAGCCATCCATTTTGTGTGCCAGGCTCCTTATCAGCTTGACCCATTGACAGGCAGAGCTAAGCTCATCCTTTCACCTGCTGGCTGCTTATCTGGGACACATGATGTGTGGAAAACAGCCTGCCAGGCAGAGAGGGGCCAGGACTTTTCCTCTCAGGGCCCCAAAAGATGAGAGGAGCAGTGCTGAAGGGCTGGCTCTGCCCTCAGGGTCTCATGCCTTTGCTTTCCATTTAGGATGGCCAACAGCTGCACTCTTCTGGCACCATGGGGCTAGGAGCAGACAGCAGGCGGGGAATGCCTACAGCAGGTGGGAGACGCCACTGCTCCTCTTTGGCCCCAGTCATAAGGAGCCAGCCAGGCCTGCTCATCACTTTGCTTACCTTCTCCAAGGACCCTCAAGACACCTCTGCAGCCCATCTCCTGGGCCCCATCTCTACCCCCCTCCACTCCTTTGTAGGAACCAAACCTCTTGTTGGGAAAGGATGGTAGGTTCCCATAGCAATGGGCTTTTTAGCTGTTTCCATGGCAACCAACACCCAGACCATTTAGTTGCTAGTCAACTGACAGCTGTAAGTGAATAGGATTCAGTTTAGAATCAGAGGGATAGGCCAGAGGAGTCTCTTCGTAGAAGAAAGCACAACCACCCAAAAATGACTCAACTCTTCTAAAGACTTTTTAGGTAACATCCATGGAGATCCAGCACAACTTTCTATCGGAGGTCACACGAGACTGCTTCTCCAGTTCCCAACACACACACACACTCTCTCTCTCTCTCCTCAACTGAGTATCTCAGGTCTTTAAATCCCCCAAGTTCTATATCCTATTATATCTCCTTCTCAAGGACCCTTGGGAACATCCTCCAAGACATTTTTCACACATAACCCTTTCCTCTGTGTCAGCACTCTTCCTATGTACCATGACTCAGTCCTCATGCTAACCCGGTCATTTAAGCAATATTTGTTTTTCAGATTGTCTGATATGAATGGCTAATCCAGATCATCATCCCCTAGCCCAGACCTCACCTATGGCGAGTCACTTTCTTATGTCTGTGGGTGTTCCTAGAGCACAGACTGTTTTACCAACCTTTGCAAGGCATGATTAAGATCAATCTGTTTCTTTTTAAAAATCAGCTAAAATTTCAAAAGCAAACATATGAGATTAGAAATTACTCCATGCTCATTACTTTTCATTACCCTGAAAATTTGACTAAATGCCAGGCCTCCCACCTAATACTCTTCCAAACTGGGGATACTCGGTATTGAATTCCCTTTATTCCATAAGCAGGAGTTCCCATCATGGTTTGTTTTTTATTCTCTTGGGCTCCAAAATCATTGCAGATGGTGACTGCATCCATAAAAATAATTAAAAGACACTTGCTCCTCAGAAGAAAAACTATGACCAACCTATACAGCATATTAAAAAGCAGAGACATTACTTTGCTGACAAAGGTCCATTTAGTCAAAGCTATGGTTTTTCTAGTAGTCTTGTATGGGTATGAGAGTTGGACCATAAAGAAAGCTGAGTACTGAAGAATTGAGGCTTTTGAACTGTGGTGTTGAAGTAGACTCTTGAGAGTCCCTTGGACTGCAAGGAGACCCAACCAGTCCATCCTAAAGGAGATCAGTCCTGGGTGTTCATTGGAAGGACTGATGCTGAAGCTGAGGCTCCAATACTTTGGCTACCTGATGTGAAGAACTGACTCATTTGGAAAAACCCTGATGCTGGGAAAGAATGAAGGCAGGAGGATAAGGGGACAACAGAGGATGAGATGGTTGGATGGCATCACCGACTCAATGGACATGAGTTTGAGTAAACTCTCGGAGTTGGTGATGGACAGGAAAGCCTGGCGTGCTGCAGTCCATGGGGTTGCAAAGAGTCAGACACAACTGAGCGGCTGAACTGAACTGAATTTTATTTATTTTTGACTGTGCTGGGTCTTCATTGCTGCGCAGGTTTTTCTCTACTTGCAGCGAGTGGGGGCTACTCTCTAATTGTGGCATGTGGGCTTCTCATTGTGGTGGGTTCTCTTGTGGAGCACAGGCTCTCGGGCACAGAGGCTTCAGTAGCTGTGGCTTGCAGGCTCCAGAACAGTCTCAATAGTGGTGGCTCATGTGCTTAGTTGCTCCAAAGCATGTGGGATCTTCCCCTATCAGAGACTGAACTCCTGTTTCCTGCTTTACCATGGGGATTCTTTTTCACTGCACCACCAGGGAAGCCCCGCCATCATATTTTTTTATTCACTGGAGTCTGGGGTTTCTCTACCCTGGAATTCATGCAGAGGAGCTGTCCAAGCCTCCATGGCTTGCTCAGTGGACTAGAAAAGTGAGAGCATCATTGGAAACAGCATGACCTTTTTGAGGGGGACGGCTATGCGCCCTCTGTATGGAAGATGACCTTTCAAACTAATCCCCCCACGGGAGCCCTACTCAGCTCTCTGCTGCAGGCTCCATGTATCCTCACAATGGCCAGTAAACAGTTCTAAGCTGCTGCGTGACCCTTCTGCTCTGACTGAAGGATATACACTAGTGGAACTGCTTTTCTTCTGTCTTCTTTCAACGTATAAGACAGAAGTATAAAATGAAGGGCAGGGAGCTGTTAGCCTCAAAGGAACCCAATGACATGAGAGTCTTCAGGGAAGGAGAGAGAGCAGACACACAGGACAACTGAGCTTTTCTCGTGTACAGAGGATTGCCTCATCTTTGAGGGGACATGTCATCACACAGCAGATTGAACCTTCTGATTTTCCGGCTCACCTAGATGAGGGACAGTGTCTATGTCTCTTGGAATAGCAGCTGATATTTCCTGATTGTACACTATGTGTCAGGGTCATTCTAATGTTTTATATGTAACATCTCATTTAATTCTCACAGCTTTACTGTTATTATATCTAGTTAACCCATAAGGAAACTGAAGTGCACAAAGGTTAAGAGATTTTAAGATCCTACTGGTAATCACTGGCTCCTGGGTGGGTCAGGTGGCAAAGAATCCACCTGCAACACAGGAGACCTAGGTTTAATCCCTGGATTGGGAAGATGCCCTGGAAGAGGGCATGGCAACCCACTCCAATATTCTTGCCTGGAGAATCTCCATGGACAGAGGAGCCTGGCAGGCTACAGTCCATGGGGTCGCAAAGAGTCAGACACAACTGAGCGACTAAGCACATCCAGGTAATCCTACGGATTGATGAAGCCGGGATCCAACTTCAGCAGTCTGAAGCCACAGCACCTTTGGAATCCATTTAAGTCTGATAAGCCCAGGGTCCAGCACAGGAAGACAGAGTGGGCTGTCCCTTTAGGCACAATGTGATAGAGTACACAGAACATCCTAGCTGGAGTACAATGATTGAATGGCTCTAGGAATTAACTTGGAAATCTTGGCTGCTGATAACCTTATTCCCAATGTATGGCTGTCCTCTGGTGGTTTTCCTGGGAAACTCACAAGCCGAAGAAATCTAGAAAAAATAGGATGAAAAGAACCAGACTAAATGATTTATTTACTGCCTAAGCACTCCAGACTAAAAGAGATGACCTTCCAAGGGCCACATTACCCGACTCCTTTGTGAATGGGGTTGTAGCCCCTGTGACAGCTAAAAGCTGATAGATAGTACATTGACTTAAAACAGCAAACTATATGCCCATGATTGTACTTGTACTTCAAGAGCAGGACACTCCAAGATTTAAATAATTCAGCCAATACTTCCTGCAACTTCACATTTCATCTTTAAGCTTCTAGACTTTCTCCATGGCAGAAGGTTCCTGAAGATTACTATGCTTATGCCAACTTATAACTTCTTACTTCCCGCTCCCACCCCAAATTCAGTTCCCTTGACCTTGCAGATGCTGCTATTCCACTAGGGGATGCTTGCCTTCACTGTTTCTTTCAAGCACCCTTGGTGGTATAAGATTGTGCAAAGTGAAGCAAATGAGGTCATTTTATGTCAGACAGAGAGGTGAGTCCTGTGTGAAAGGGAGAAACAGCAGTTTCTGAAAGTCATGTCTCTACTGTACTCGGGGACCACGGGACTGGATGTTCACTTCCCATGGATCTGGGGTAACACACTGGGTAAAAGAAGTTATCCACAGCCCAAATGCAGAAGATTGCCAAGTGTTTGTTTATTCAAAGAGACATGCATAAAGAGGTCACAAGTTAGTATTGTCAAGAAAAAAAAAAATCAAAACACCTGCTAATCAAATGCTGCAATTAATGAAAACGACCTAAGTTAGAAAAGGAGACATGAGCTAACTGCAGAGAAATTTCGGTGACGCTGCCGCAGAGCAAGTCACGGCTGGAGAAACAGTTGGAGCTAGTGGTGAGGAGGCTCACTGGCCGGATGCACTGAGCTCAACGAGGCACACGGAGACAAGGAACTTGCAGGTGTGATCCCAGTAGACGGACGCGGTTTGGAACCCATCCTCTGCTGCAAGGGCCAGCAGCCCTAGGGCAAGTTATCCAGTGCCCCCTAAGCAGCTTCATTCAGGTTCTGTCTGGTGACACCCTCCTTATTCCAAAAGCAAAACAAGACAAAAAAATCCAAACCAAAAACAAAACCCGCCAAAACCAACAAAAAACCTCTGAAACCTGAAGACAACTGAATCAATCCCTGCAGTCTCACTTTCTCTCAGAAAGAAAAGTTGGATAAGTCTCACTTATCCAACCCTTTTACAAAGGATAATTCAAGGGAGACAGTTCCAAGCTCTCAGGAACAGGGTCTTAAGACGCTTTTGGAGGTTGAGAGGCATAAAACGGTAGTCTCGAAGTTCCTTTCATCTTATGGCACTGATTGAGTTTAGATTTGATTTCTCCTCCCCTCCCTCCACCCGTGCTCTCTCACCCCCAGATGGACATATTGGCACTGAACAGCTCTAGGCTTCAACCTCTATTGGGATCTCCCAGCAGAAGAAACGTTGGTCTTTGTCATCCGTAAGTTCCCACTGTACCACCACTTTTATCTGGAGAAAGAAAAAAAATCAAGAATGAAATGAAACTAGGACCTCACCTCAATCCAGAATGGGTTAAACTATGAATTTTAACTATGAATCCTAGATAGAAATTATAACAAACTGGCTATTCCTCATATTTTTCTTCTTAAATCATGCCATCATGAAGGCTGTTTGGGTGGGATGCAGGCACAGCCTGTGTCCTTAAGCTTAGAAGGGTAAACCAAGTTACACCTTGGATTTAGTGTTAGTAGTACCACATCCTAGTCTAGTTAGCTTCTTAAATACAATTTATAAAGCATTTTTCCCCCTCTTAGATCAATGATACATAAATGAAGGCACCCATGACAAAGAATTTTAAAGTTAAACAATTTTACATGCATTTTGACAACATGATCCAGCTTCTCCCAACTTTAACTATGAAGAGCAGAGAGTAAATAGTTCAATTCCTAGATCTCAGGAAACTTAATTATTAGCTGAAAAGAGAAATGTCAAAGCACAAAGGATGTCCAAAGAAGTTTAGGGTTGTATGAATACTTTCAGGGACAATGTCCTTTGTGGCAATATAGCTTTGATTAATGTCCTTAAGCCGTTTTTTGACATTATACCCATAGAGATCTCTGCCTTGACTGGTTACACTAGGAGCTGTCTCCTAATTCTTCTTTTTTTTTTTTAATTTCCCCCAAGGCTAGGGGAGAGGGGTGCACTGTTCCTGGAAGTACTGCAATACCAGGTCGATGCGTGGAGTGGATGGAGCAAGCTCCTATTCCAACTTCCAGCTCCAAAAATTCATTTAATATATTGTCCTAGGATAGAGAATGTATCAGATATTAAACTGATAAGAACAGATACTATACTTGATCCTAGCCAAAAGTCCGAGAAGCGATCCTTCTAATTCTTAATAGATCACTGGCACTTTGGCCAGTTCCTTCTTATGTGGACCTTAGCTTACTTGCTTTTAGTTACAACCTCTCTTTTGTACTCAAAATGTTTCTTCAGAATGCAACATTTGGATAACAGTGATACCCAGCTTTGAAACTTGTTTGGTAAGTTTTTCAAGACTAGTACACATTAACTACTGTTTCACTTACTGCACACATTAACATAGTTTGAGCTGGTTTTCAAATGAAATGTCACTGAAGCCCTGCATAGCATCAGAACAAAAACAAACAAAAAACAAATGATATGCCACTGAACAATAACTACCATATATTAAGTGCCTACTCTGTATTGGGTCCTAACTAGACTTAAGTTACTGAGGCTCAAATATGCCCATGATTACATGGCTGGTCTGCAAATTAATCTACAAATCTGTCCCTGGCCATTAGCACCTCTGGTATCTCTCAAACACAGACTCCCTAGGGGCTTCCTTAGTGGCTGGGATGGTAAAGAGTCCGCCTGCAGTGCGGGAGACCTGTGTTTAATCCCTGGGTTGGGAAGATCCCCTGGAGGAGGGCATGGCAGCCCACCCCAGTACTCTTGCCTGGAGAATCCGATGGACAGAGGAGCCTGGCGGGCTGCAGTCCATGGGGTCGCAAAGAGTCGGACGCAGCTTAGTGACTAAGCACACGTGCATGGTAAGCACAGACTCCCTAATTTGAGTCTTTTTAGAATGTTCTTTAATTACTGGCTGTTTCTATGGAAAAAATGGCCAGATTGCTCCTGGTTTGACTCGATCTCCTTTCAAGAAATGCAGCTCTTTCTCTTCATTGAAAAGAGTAGTCCCTTTATTTCCTCCATTCTTACCAAGATTCATAATCGTTAACACAGGCCCATTCTAGCAGGCTCCATCTCACATACTCTGCAGATGAAGAGGCAGGTGTAGCAGTGTGAGTCAGAGGTGAGGGTGGGGGTGGGGTGGAGGAGAGAAAGCAGAGAGGAAAAAGCTACCACTCTGCTATGGACCTCACACATGACTGCTCTCTTGTTAAGAGATTAATGGAGAGACCAGGTTTTTCTGGTGACAATGTGACGACTGCTTGAAATCTTGAGCTATCTGATACCTAGCTAAAATTTTGTAGGGCTTCTCTGGTTGGCTCAGTGGTAAAGGATCTGCCTGCCTATACAGGAGGCATGGGTTCAAGCCCTGGAGAGGGAAGGATCCCCTGGAGAAGGAACTGGCAACCCACTCCAGTATTCTTGTCTGGAGAATTCCATGGACAGAGGAGTTTGGCAGGCTACAGTTCATGGGGTCGGAAAGAGCTGGATACGACTGAGCGACTAACACTCTCACTTTTCAACCATTAGGCAAGAGACAAAGACTGAAGGGACAGTGAGAACTCTGCACCTCGCGATTCCCATACTCTTCGCCCTTAGGCATTCGCTTCTTCCTCACAGAGATGAAGGATTCCTGTTCTAGTCTTTTCTTCCTGCCCCCTCTCCTCCAATTTCCAAACTAGTCACAGGACTCTCAGTGTTCTCAACCACAATGTCACTTACAGAGGGGTATTCACTCTTCACGGGTAGTTTGTTCACGTAGTTATAGGTCTTATTTTTTTCGATGGGGCATGTGATTCCAGACTTACAACCATCAGACTCAGGAATGGGAAAGGGAACTGGGATGCCCATCACAATGCCATGTACCACAGCCTTGCTGCTTTGAGACTGAGTATCTAAGAGGGAAAAAAAAAAAAAGAGAATCAGATGGTGAAGGAAACAGCTTATTTCCAAACTTAAAGAATTCAGACATAGTCTCAAGCAATGGCATTGCTGTGATGGCAAACCGAAGTATGTACCTCTTAATTCCTAGGGTCTACTCTCTTTGCAGTTACACTTAGTACTTCCGTGAATGCTATGCAGAGAGTAATCACTCAGAAACTTGAAAAATTCCTGAATTATACAAAAATAAAAATAATCAGTGGGGGTTGTTTTCTTTGCTCTTAACCCCACCTTGCTCTTCACTGCCTTTCAGTTTCTTAGAAGAATCAGAGCTACCTGGATAAATAACCTTATGGAACAAGCTAACTGATTTTTGGCAGTCAACTTTCTGTTTACTATCTGCATCAGATTCTGTCAAAGTGTATTGTGCATCTTAAAGACTGTGGTCTCTGAATTCTCAAATACCCTGTCCTAAGGATTCCAATAAAAATTAAGAATAAAGTGGAGAGACAATACAGAAAGAGGGACTAGAAGTCTCCACAGAAATGCCATGGCCTGTAACAGGAGCGAAAGCAGTAACTCTTTAGAAACTGGGTAAGAGAAAGGTACATTTCTTGCTCACCTTTACCCTCCAAATCAAAAGGCAGGAGGAATAAACATAATAAAATTAGAGCAACTGGAGTTATGAGCTATTAGATTCTTCTGGAGATCCAGAGTATTGGCTCTGTTTCTGTCTCCCAGCTGGGAATTACTTTTGTTGAGAAGATACATTTCTGGTTTAGAACAATAGAGGGGATGGGGTATTTACCCAAGAGAGATAACAACTCTAGGACTTAGAGCTGTCTTTGGGCTTATGAACAAGAGATGATAGGAACTCTGAGATTTTTTTTTATTAGTCTGTCTAGTTCCATAGGATAGAAAATGAGGGGAAGATTCAGGGCAGCTGCCCTTTTTAGAAGCAGAGATTTTACATTTGTCCCTATTCCTGGGAAACTGAAGGAGATGAATAAATACGAAATAAACAAGTTCCAATAACATCTCTTCAAGTTGAAGAAGAAAGCTTGGACTTCTTGGTTGTTTCTTGGGTCAAGAGTAAGTTCCCAAACCTTATAGAGGCTAAATATTAATTGCTCCTATATTTTCAGGCAGAATAAGACTTAATAATTGGAAGATATATTGCTTGAAGTAGCATTTTGGAAGAGTTCTAAGGTCTACAAAGTTGAGGTTGGTACTAACACTCTGCAGTCTGTAGCTAAAGAGTTGACATCCCCATGAAATCTGCTGTGTAATATGGACCACAGTAAGACAAGCTGTCTTCTCTGACCTGTGAACACATGGAAATCCCCTTTGCTTAAAGGGAGTCTGGCAACTACGGACTCCAAGAAACAGGCATCGGGGACCCAGTATGAGAAGCATGTGTAAAAGCATGGTGAATCCTAGCTTTGTCCACTGAGAGGGAGGTCACGGAATTCCTGACTGCAATTCCCTCCTCCTCACATTCCCACGCTCACTCCAATTCTTAGATTGATGTCACATTTTAAGATGAATTTGAAGGTAAAAAACACTTTTACTTACTACTGGTGAACGTAACATTGACACTGTAAGACTGTCCTTTGTGCAGTTTGCAGGGCTGGGTGGGACATGGGCTTACATTCACTTCCTTTATAACTCCGACCCCAGAACCTGCAAAAGAAGAACAATTTGTTTGGATGGAGGGAAAACAAATCACCTCGGCTGTCTCCTACCTCATGAGACAGTGCTCTGTCTTCCCAGTGAGACCACTGGGACCAGCAGGGTTGTGAGAAACTGCTCATATTTGACAGGTGGAGGGGAATTAAGGAAATGATCGTGTATACACAGCCAGCTCCCCTACTCTACAGGCTGGGAGGGCTCCACCAGGGACAACCATCCCCACCCCTCCATCCATCCTGACACAGGATCTGAAAGTGGCACACACAGCTTAAGTGATGACTCAAGTCACATAGCTACTGTTTCCACTTGGGGTCTAAGGCTACTGTTTCCAATTGTAATCTTGAGACTGGCTACTCTCTTAACTGTCCTTCCCACCCCCACCCACACCTGGTCTTTCAATCCTGCCCTGGTGGTTATCCAACTCATGGTCTCTGAGCTTTGAATACCGCTACCAATGAGAACAGTTTCAAGCACACATTTGAGATACCCAGAGCAGAGAGGTACACTCTACTCTGGAACCCATGTTCTTCAAAATAAGTGGTTGGAGGCAGGGAGTGTGCCTTTTTTCCCCCCGCCAGTCTAAATAAGGACAAAAATACTCTGACCAAGAAAAGTTAAGCACAAATCTTTAAAAAGCTTCTTACTTCATCCAGGCCCCTGAAACCAGACGGCTGAATGGGAGAGAAGAGAAGTAAAATCTGGGTAAGTTTAAGCTCCACCACTCATACACCATTGCTGAGAGCTAGACTCCGGGATCCCGACACCTGGCTGTGAAATCTCACCCGCTCCATCAAGTATTGTGGAAACTTAAGGCAAGATACTTAGCCTCCCTGGGGCTAAAAACAGTACCTACCTCAGAGAGTAGGTGAGCTAATACATTATAACTCTTAATAAGTGCTTAGAACATAGTACTGCTATACAGGTATTCACCATTACTATCATTATACTGGGGCAATTCCCAGGTGGCTCGAGTTCTAAAGAATCCACCTGCCAAGGCAGGAGACACAAGAGACGTGGGTTTCATCCCTGGGTCAGGAAGATCCCCTGAAGGAGGAAATGGCAACCTACTCCAGTCTTCTTGCCTGGAAAATCCAATGAACAGAGGAGCCTGGTGGGCTACAGCTCATGGGGTCACAGAGTTGGACACAACTGAGAGTGAACACACACACACACACACACACACACACACACACACACATACCCCATCACCATCATACTGGGATTTAGTCCATGAATTTAATCTAGAGCAGCTGCTCCTGGGTGGGTTAGCAAGTTCCCCTTTGGCACAAAAGGTGAGCCTCTCACCTCAAATTTACTTTGTGGGTAGAAATTCTGGATCTAGACAATGGAACGGACTGTCTCAAAAGTACAGTGTATGAAGACAAAGAAAATGGCAGGTTGAGAGCACATTATCTTGGGTGAAACAGTTTCCTTGTTTTGACTAACACTGCTCCAGCTAGTTCTGTATACTTTGCTGTCCCCTATCCCAACTTGCTTCTCCATCATGGCAAAGTCCTCAAAACATAAATACAAGATTCTTTTCTCTAAGGACTCTCTTCCACTCTGTCGTATCTTTTAGGACCAGAAAAAAAAAATAGGGAACCTTAATCAACAACTTATTAAAAAACCAGTGCTTATGCTGAAGCTTTCAACTTCTAGTTTCTATCAAGGCTGGCTCACATGATCTAGGAGGTACTAAGTATCCTCAGTACCCTCTACTGATCTAGAGGGTAGTACTTAGCTACTTCATTCAGTTTTGCTTTTTTCCCCCTCTTTTTGTTGATAAGAGGTTCTTGGACTTCCAGTGTCAACAGAGCAAATTTCTCAGGCCTAACCCTCAAAAATTGCAAAACTAGTTTGCTCAGCCCCATCTCTGACTAGAGGAAATACCACTTTAGGTAGGAGAAAGGAGGCAGAATGGGACTCAAAAAACCTTTTGATGTGGGCACTGAAGTTTTTACATTGTATTTCCCAATTCAAAAGTAAATTGAAAGTCTGTCAGTGAAACTCTCCTTCCCTTAAGAAGTTCTTGCCATAGGGGTCCACCTGGTTTTTTCACAGGAGCAGACCAATCTCAGGATTCAGTTTCCTTAGGTTTTTTTTTTTTTTTAATGTTAATGCTACTGTTGAAACCCAAAGTGACTCACAAACACCCACTAGTTTCCTACTGCGTACTAGCTGTAAGAACTTGGGCAAGTTTCTTTATGTGCTGGTTTCAGACTGCAAGAGTTGAATGAGTTGATTAAATTAACATAGTGTCTTTATCCAAAGTTGGCCACTAAGTTTAGTGGAAGGAAAGGCAGTAATATGAGGTGATAATAACATCTTTCAAATGCCAGTCTCGTAGTGGAACAGCATTTGTTAAGCATTAATAGGCCAGCAATTTTTATTCTTTGATCACTCCTAGCCCTAGCCCCCAATTCTGCTCTTGCCTCAACATGAATTTTGGAAATATAGTGGAAAGAGTATTTATTCCCTCATTTATTTTTCCAACAAATATTTATTGGGCAGCTACTATTATCTGGGCACTGGATGTAAAGAAGCACATTTATTCTGGTTGTCATTATGCCGTGTAATTGCGTGAGTTACTTAACCTCTCTGAAATTCACTGATCGACTATATGAGTGTGTGTGTGCTCAGTCATGTCTAACTCTTTGCGGCCTCATGGACTGTAGCCCGTGAGGCTTCTCTGTCCATGGGATTTCCCACGCAAGAATATTGGAAGGGGTTGCCATTTCCTCCTCCAGGGGATCTTCCAGACTCAGGGATCAAACCTCTCTTGCATCTCCTGCATTGGCAAGTGAGTTATTTACCACTACTGCCACTTGGCATGCCCATGATTGATTATAGGATCTCCAAGTTTTCTTCCAGCTCACAAATTTTATAAAGTCAGTTTCATTTCTCTTTCACTTATCATTACACTTCTCCACTTCAGAAAAGCTCTGCTCAAACATTTAATTTGGATAGATTTGACTGAAGGAACTCAGTTTCTACCCCGTTGTATTTCTCATCAAAGATTCCAACCACAGCTGCAAGAGAGGGTTATGCATCACAAGTTGCGACCAGAACAAGAGTTTTATAAATAGGAGGAGAAAACTGGAAAGAATTAAAAGTGCCATAGCCCCAAAGGAAGCCCTAAAGGAATAGCTCATGAAAGGAGAATTGACTTCTGACGCGTCATCAAAAGGGAAATGTAAAAGAAAAGCAAGGTGGAGGGAGGGAGCGGGCACCCAAGACACAAGGCAGAAATAAAGAGAAGTTTTGCATCGCACCCCTGACGCCCCAAGCGGCACGTGAACCTTCTGCTGTTTGCCCTACAAACTTTAGGAAACTTCAGCAAAAAGCCCACCTCCAGAAATGTGCTGGGACCCAAACATGGGTTCATGAGATAAAGTTGTGAGAGGTCGGGTTTTATCCAGGCCAGCACCTTGTCCCCTACCCCAACCGACTCCAGCCCATTCCACGAAGGGTCCGAGGCTGAGCCTGGCTGCTCGCAGGACCCGCCAAACCCAGCCCAGCACTCTTAGCATCATTCTGTCAGGGGCTCCCGCAGAGGGCGCGGAACTTCGGACTGGCCCCGGGGCTCACCGCAGTCCTTGAATTTCACCGGCTCGGCCAGGGCGGAGGCACTGAGTGCCAGGAACAGGAACGCGAGGGCCAAGAAACGCATCACTGCTAAGGCTCCAAGCTCAAGGAAGGGAGAACCAGCTCTCTCGGTCACAAGATAAAGTCTTCAGGGATGGGCCGGGCCGGGGGAGGAGCCCAGTCAGGCGACCGGTCACTGGCCAGCGGGGCCGAGGCCGGGCCGAGGCCTGCCCGCGCCCCGCCCTCGGGTCCACGGAGCCAGACAAGAGGTCCGGGACTCTTGCAAACTCCGCCCATCCGCTCCGCTCCGCCGCGGAGCAAGCGGGATCCATCTTCATCCGGCGCGCCTCCTCTCGCCAACGCTCCGCCTGGGTTTTGTGGGTGCGTCCCCGCTTCCGCAATGGGAGCATTTCTAGCCAATCAAATCCCTTCTCCTTCCTCATCTCCCAATAGATGTGCTTAGGGGCGGGGTTTCCGTGGATCCCGCCTCCCGAAGCCCAGGCGCAGAAGGCGATTGGGGAAATGTGAGGGGGCGGAGCTTTCGGAAGAAAATGGCGGCCGTCCGAGGGCTAACAGCTGTGGCCCTGAGAGTTGTGACTCCCTGGCATGGGAGCAGGTAACCAAGCCTAGAAAAGCACCTGGTTAGCGCCTCCAGGACTCAAGCGGAACTAAGGCTCGCGGGGGAGGTGAAGGTTTGGCGTGAGGCTGTCCAGGTGGGGGGACTTCAGGTTTGGTGTGAGGCTGTCCAGGTAGAGGGACTTCAGGTTTGGGGTTGAAGCTGTAGAAGTGGAGGGACTTCTTGTTTGGGGGTGAGGCTGTCCAGGCTGGAGGACTACAGGTTTGGCGTGGGGCTGTCCAGGCGGGGGCGGGGGGGGGAGGACTTCAGGTTTGGCGTGGGGCTCCTCAGGCAGGGGGACTTCAGGTTTGGCGTGGGGCTGTCCAGGTGGAGGGCTCTAGGTGTTCTGCTCCCAGGCTCACCCTCCTCCCTTGCGCAGCAGGCTCCTCGCGGCCTCCCGTGGACCCCGGGCGCTTCGGGAAGTGTCGTCCTCTAGCCCAGAAGCTGGCGAAGGGCAGATCCATCTCACCGACAGCTGCGTCCAGGTGAGAGGCCGGTCGCGGGGCAGGGGTGGCGGGCCAGGACCGGGAGTGGGGGGTTGGGGGGGGACTTCCCTTTTGGCCCACCCTTCTTTCTCTCCTTGCCTGGCATTCTTGACCCTCCTTCCTGCATTTCAGAGGCTACTGGAAATCACCGAAGGGTCTGAATTCCTCAGGCTGGAGGTGGAGGGAGGTGGATGCTCCGGATTCCAGTACAAATTTTCACTGGATACAGTTATCAACCCCGACGACAGGCAAGGAGAAAGGGGTGGGTCCTCCGAGAATGTGCAGGAGGGATAAAAGTGTCTCCAATTTAAGGTGCACTTTTATTCCACATTTAAAACTGCTAAGGATAGCATCACAGCACCCTTCTCACACAGTGGGAATGCAATGAAGATTTGTTGCCTTGATTCAAAATAACTCAGTCATAGGAGGAAAATTGGCCTGAGTCCATAGGGTCATTGGTAGAGAGTCAGGCTGGAGTTGAAAGTTTCCAGGCCTAAATTTCTAAACACTTCCCAGTATTCTTTCCATTGAATCTTTTTGCCTCAAAGAAAATCAGCACATGTTAGAGGTCCTAAGGGAAGCCTCCTGTGTATTTTAGAAAACAGGATGGGCATCTCTGGGCTCAGAGGGTGTTATGTTTCTGGTGTTTATGATGTTCATTAATGCCTTCCTCCCCTCTTTTCAGGGTGTTTGAAAAGGGTGGGGCAAGAGTGGTGGTTGACTCTGATAGCTTGGCCTTCGTCAAAGGGGCCCATGTGGACTTCAGCCAAGAACTGATCCGAAGCTCATTTCAAGTGTTGAACAATCCTCAAGCGCAGCAAGGTTGTTCCTGTGGATCATCCTTCTCTGTCAAACTTTGATGTGATGACAGGTGACCCGGAGATTGCTATCATCTGACTGATTTGAGGAACCTGGGATTAGAACAATTCTAGAAGTTTTCTTCCCATCATGACCCTCTCTCAATTTTATTTTCCCTTAATCCAGGATGTTGTTTCACCACTATTTTCAGAATGTGAAACTTTTACTCTTGATTTAATTTCTCCTACACAGTTGTAAGGCCAAGCCTGTGGATGCTGTTACCTAAGATTTAGTAACTGGTTGAAACCAGTATCTTCTGTAGAGCCTCCAAGCTTCCAGGAGTTACTTCTCTGGCCTTCAGAGCTACTTGTACAAGTGTGTATAGCTATGTATAAAACCTTCATTTTAAAGAAAGTCCTTATTTACTTGTGTTGTGGATTAGAATCACAGATTGCATAGCTTGAACACTGTGTTACTAGACCAGAAAGGATGAGACAGCCAAGTGAAATGTTATCTTTTTGTTTTGCTATTTATTTATTTATTCACTTACTTTTATTAAGTATAGTTGATTTGCAGTATTGTGCCAACCTCTGCTATACAACACAGTGACAGAGTTATATACATGTATACTTTCCTTTTTATTTTCTCTTCCGTTATGGTTTATCATAGGGTATTGAATATAGTTCCCCTGTGCTATACAGTAGGGCCTTCTTGTTTGAAATGTTATCTTTTTCATCTCACCCTTCCTTAATGTGCTAGTTTGCTTACCATTATTTTCTATGCAGCCCATTCTTCACTTCCCATTTGTTACAGCAGATACATTTTCTTCTCATACTTAGGAATGTGTTAGATTCACAAAACCGATAACCCATCACCCAGAAAAACTTGGACCTAAACCTCACTGATACTTGAATCGTAAGTTTGAAAATAAGCTCCATACTCCATATTCACACATTTCGAGATTCGTTGCTAATTTAGTGACTGAATCTTTTTAGAATATGTTGCTTTATTTATCTTATGGTGTAAAATGTTTCTGGTCTCATTGCATAGCTGGAAGTTGTCCCTTTGTTGATATAGATAATAGATACTTGGGGTTTTTTTTTTTTTTTTTCCAGTTTGAGCTATAAAATGCAGGGTGCCCATTTAAATTTGAATTTTAGACAAACAGCAAATAATTTTTAATAAAAGTGTGTCTCTGTGAATACTAAAAATTATTTGTTGTTTATCTGAAATTCAGATTTAATTGGGTATCCTGTATTTTTATTTGTTAAATTTGGTAACCTTACTTTAGAGTCTCTGAAAGAAGAGCTTTTTAGCCACAAATTCCAATGAATTTTAAAGTACTTGTTTGGGTATAGTACTTAAATAGGCTAAGGAGCTAGAAACAACCATAGTATGTATGTGACAGTGTTAAGGCAGCCAGAACTGCATGGCAACAGACAACTAAAGGGAAAGATAAAAAGCACCACAACGACAAATGATTAATGAATGCTAATGTTGGGGAAACCACAACCAAGTTGATTCTGTAAGGATTACTGGTTAAACTCATCTTTTCTTTGAGACCCTGAAAGTTTATATCAGCAAATTTTGCATTCTGGAATGGATTGAAACTTTTCTGGACTTAATTAAGGTCATTCAATAAAAGAATTATCCGTAAGAAAAATAGAAACACAGAATCTGAGACAGAAACTTACGTCTTCAATATGGGAAAACCTAGGACTTAGAACAAACCTGTCGTGTGTGTGCAGTGTATACAGACACAAAAGGTCACTCAGAAACCTGAGCAGTTTTTTTCCTTAGCAAATTGCCATGGAAAATGTCAGAAAGCAGTGTGCGGAAGCATCTGTGTGTGAACTTTCCTAAGCCATTGAAAGTGGCTGCCAATACCTGGGCCTAATAAGGTTTTCAGCACAAGACTAAGTCCTTTCATCCTCCTTGAGAAGAGATTTTGTTACATTTTAAGTGTTAAACCTCTTCTCTGATATTTTTGTGGGTTATTGATATGATGAGCTTAGCACAAACATAATAGCTTTCATTATTCAATAAACCATTAAGTTCCAGTTATCAGTTAGGCAAGAAGAGGATCTCTTCCAAAGACTATGTATAAATACCTCCTATGAATGGAAGAATTGAATTTTGTGTTTAGCAAAAGTGGGTTTGGGAGAAATCAGCTTACTTCATCATACTGGGAAAGCTTCATAGGGAAGCCTGAGGTGGTAACAAGAAGTTTCCATTGGAGGACGGTGATGTAGAAATTTTAAGAACACAGGGCATGAGGAGATGATGACATCAAGGGGACAGTGGGCAGTTGGCTTGGAATAAACTGTAAGTGATGGTAAAAATAGGTTTAGGATCTTCTGCAGGCCTTTCTGACCAGATGACCTCTTCCTGGCAGGCTGTAAAAGCCTGCAGACGTTTTCACAAGTTTTGTTCACTGTGCAGTTCATTTAGGTAAATGTTATACTTTTTGAGGATCAGTTGGAAGATTTTTTGCCTCCCCATTACTTTGAGGGGAGATTATCAAGACCCCATTTATTGCAGAATTGGTTTTATTTACCTTCATAAGCTAGTGATCCCTGGGGTAGCGTGCCCCACCGTTGTAGCCAAACAATTGTGCAAGAACTGAAGGCACGGGACCCTCCCTCTGTTCTATGCTGTGAGTCTTTATGTTGTTGGCTGTTAACTATAGGTGTCCCACCTGCCCTTATTCTCTTTGTATGGGAATGTTGACCAGTTACAGGGGGTTCAGGGATAAGAGATTAGGAAGGACTACTAAAGTAGGTATCCATGAAGGTACTCTTCTTTCTCTTCTGAGAATAGCGCCCCATTCTTTTGGTCTTTCATTGTAAAGCACAAGAGGAGGGCCAGAATTTGGCTGGAACATCCCATATAGAGAAGTGGGCAGTACTGATCATCAGTGCTGGGAGGAGGTAACCCTCCCCTGAACTCGGGCCCTAAACTGACATCCTGCGGTGGGCGGGATCTAAATGTCCCTTGAGACATGGCCTTGCATGTGTGTCTCAAAAGCAGGAAACTTCTCCACTTTTTTAGGTATCTAGCATTGATGTTTATGATTGCCTTTTTAAATCCCTGTTTGCCATTTCTCCAGAGAAATGCCACCAAGATGTTTAAAGGAAATTTGATTTAAGAAGTGTTGAAAGTTATCATCTGGCTTTAATGGTAAAACATAGTTAGATAAATATATAAAGAGAGGGAATATTTAAGCAGTCTGTGTCCAGCAGCTGTATTTAAAAATATTTTATTTTTGAATAGGTGAGACACAGTACAAAATTTGAAAAGACACAAATGGGGATACAGTGAAGAGTCTCCCAGTCCTGTGCGCATCCACCTGTTGCCCTTCCCATCAACCACCATTGTTTCTAAGAATTTACCCCACAGATATAACCCCATAGATACAATGTGAAATAACATATGCACAGGAATATTCATCGTAGCACTATTTATAATAGCAAAAGATAGGAAAGAATGGAAACACCCATTAATAGGCTGATTAAATAAATTATGATGTCTATTCAATGGAGAAGTATACAGTTACAAAATAGACTGAGGCAGTCCTTTATGTGCAAGTCCATATGACGTGGAAAAAAGCAGAAAAGTGCAGAACAGCACGCATAGTGTGCTATTAATATTTGTGTTTCTAACACAAGGAAATATGTGTACAAGCGTTGAAACATCCCTGGAAGGGTGACAGGAGGGTGGGGTTTGGGAGGTAGGGCCGTGGAGCAGCAGTTAAGAAGATGCAGTGCCCGAAGGGTATACTGAGGAACGGTGAGTTCTCTGAAATGTGAGGTGTGAGGTGGAGTGGCGGAGATGAGGTTAGCTCATACCCACTTCTCTTCTCCCTCTCTTTAGACAAATAGCAATAGCAGCATATGTTTCACTTTGCTGTGCAACCTTCTTTCTTCCCTTAATCTGTTTTGGATATCTTATCCAGGCGTCTAGAGCACCTGCCCCCCGTTTTTTTTCTTTTTGGGCCTCCATGGCAATGCATTGTTTCTAACCTTTTGCTGTTACAAATAATGCTAAAATAAATAACCCCTTACATACGTCATTTTACATTTGGTGAGACTATATCTGAAGGTTAAATTTAAATTCCGAGAAGTGGAATGACTGATTTAAAGAGTAAGTGCTTTTATAATTTTGAAAGACATTGCCATCCTCTTCAGAAGTTGTATCAGAGTATACTCCTGTCAGCTATGTGTGTGAGTGTACCGCTTTCCCATAGATGCTTGCTAATTAAGAGTTTTAACAACTGTTTAAATTTTTACCAATCTAATAGTTTAAAAAAGTGTCTCCGTATAGTTTTCACTTGCATTTATTTTTATTATGAATGAAGGTCAGAATATTTTCATATGTTTAAGAACTATATATTTTTGTCTGCTGAAAACATCTCAACTGGTGTAGTGACCTAGAGCAGATTATTTAAGCTTTGTAAGTCCAAGTTCCCCATCTGTAAATTGGGAATCAAAATAGTAAATAGGATTGTTGGATGATTAAATGAAATTTGTGAACAGCGTTCAACACAGGCCTGGCACATAGCAAGCATTCAATAAGTTATCATGTGATGGCTGACAATCAGAGCAGCATGTAGGACAGGACAGATTCAATTAAGAAAAGAGGATTCATCTCCACATCTTCAGGCACACGGAGCCTTGTTCATTTACATTGCCATTCAACAGAGAAATGCAAAGTCAGATCTTGCCTTGACTTAGAAGGGGAAAGAAACTCCTGTTGAAACCCAGTCATGTTGGCAGAGCTGGTGAGGGGGTAAGCACAGTCTCATCTCTAACGTTCAGACTCAGTCAACGTTTAATTTGGTTTAATTTGAAATTTGGTTTAATATGAAATAAAAACAAAACCAGAATGTCCCAGAAATGTACATTTCTTTATTCCACCGTGGTTCTAAACTCCCAGCTAGCCCAGGCTGGAGTGAGTCTCTACTTGTAAACTCAGTGGGATGCCAGCCAGCCATTGTAGGAGGGGGAAAGAGGGCAGACGCCTCTGAGTAGAGAGGAAACAACACAGGGAACCTGGCTTCTCCTCAACAGGATTACACTGTATTTCAGAAGCTAGAAAATAGACCTCTTTATTTTTAGCACATCCAACTGGTGTCCACAAAAGGAGAGCCCAGGAGAGACTTGTGTCCTGTAAGAAGCAGTGTGGATTTAATGGAGGTCTCGGAGAGAGGCACCCAGTCTCGGGGCAGTCCTTGCTGTGGTGCACAGGAGCTATCGCTGGGTAGACTGAATGGTTATTACCTGAAGCTACTGATTATTTTCCTTAGATCTGTGTAAAGCATGGTGCCCCCTTTCTCATCAACTCCCCGTATTTTTTTTTTTTTTAATATTGTCCTATTGCCGCTCTCTCAGGCTCCTTACTCCCCTTCATGTGCGTCTCTTACTAGCAAGCTAGTATCAGTCTTGCTTCTCTGAGATGAGGGCATCTTCTGCCCCTCTCCAGGGCCACAGAACTGGCAACAGGGTGGAGACGTGGCTAAATTTGGCCCATACCAGACAGGCTGAGTGGTGCCGATCACTCCCCAAACTCCTCCCCCGCGCCCCGCCCCATCCTTTTTCGCTGGACAGATTCTGAAGGGCCATTACAGGGCAGATGTGGCCTCCGGTCCAGGTGTAGAATAGTCAGGATGATACGTGGATCGTGTCTGGAGAAAGGGTATGTGCAGTGTGAGGCCAAAGGACCTTGCACGTTTGCACAGCTTGAGGGGCTGGGGTTGAGGGCCGTCCTTTGATCAGCATCCCATGGCAAGGCCAGGACAGATGGCAGGCTGGGCCTCGTGGCCAGTGGTTGAAGCATTAAAGTACTTGGTGGTGTTTGAGCCAAGCAAGGGCATGGCCGTGTGGAGGCCGTGACAGAAGCTCAGACAGCAAGAGCCAAAGCTGGGGGAGATGAAAAGCAGGCGAGGCTGGCTGGGAGCTGGGCGGCAGGGCCTCCGGCCGGTGTCTTCATGGCATCTCCCCAGCTAGGAAAACTTCCTCAAGGCCCCGCCTGTGGCCAGGGCCCATTTCCAGGTAACTGCCCACACTCGACCCGTCTCTGCTACTCCTTGGCAGTGCAGTGTGGGGGACCTGCCTCAGCCACATAACCCGGGAGGCAGTGGCAGCGGTAGGAGCCCTCCGTGTTCTCGCAGTGACCATGGACACAGAGCGCAGCAGGCCCGTTCAGGTCATCACACTCATTCACATCTAAGGGGGAGAGGGAGGAGAGAGCTGTAGGGAGCCCACGTGCCTCTGGCCTGCTGCCCCAGTGCCCCTCCGGTCAGCAAGCCCCTAGTCCGTGCCCTGCAGCGGAATCGTCCGTAGGGCAGCAAAGGATGCCCCGAAGGAAGCGACTCGCGGACACAAAGCCAGTGGTCGTGAGCCCACACTGTGACCGTGCTGTCTTGCCCCTGCCTTTCTTCTGCCTAGGAACCTCCATGGAAAGGGCTTTCTAATCACAGCGATAGACCTTTGGAGCTCTCACCACCTGGCCTGGTGCCTGGCAGGCCCGCTAGGGGGCAGCAGTGGGTCTGCCACCCAGGCGAAGTCAGGCGTCCCTAAGTGAGCAGTGGGCCAGTCTGAATATCCCACATGGAGCCAGCAGGGCCGTCCTGCCCCCCGGGCATCTGCACTCTTGATTCCAGACCTACCCACACAGGCCATGTGGGCCGTGTCCAGCTGGAAGCCCTCGAAGCAGTCACAGGTGTAGCCCTCGCGCACGCGCACGCAGCGGCCGTTCTCACAGCCGTTCAGGATGCCGCACTCCTCGGCCTGGAGCCCTTCGAAGCCGGCCTGGTGCTCTGGGAGGAGGGAGTCAGACAGCCAGGGGGGCTGAGGTCTCGTACCCCACCCTGGGGCCCTTGCCCTCTGCTCAGAGGAGCCCAATGAACTCCTGGGGTCAGGGTGGGGAGGGTTATAACACTGTCACAGAAAGATGGTGAAACAAAAGGCAATACCCCTAAAAAATAAGTATGTGTCATTTTTAGATGGGGAAATGTGCTTGCTTTAAATGAGGCTCTGGGGAGGTGGGGACTCTCTGCTTTCACAACACCAGGGCTCCCGAGCACTTCGGTATCTCTGTACAGTTTTGATTTTGTTGTGGTTGGTGGCATGTTAAAATCTTCACATAGCTTTTTGGGGGTGGACAGGATTGGTAGCAAAAGGGACAACCCTCACTCATCATAAAGCAAAGCTGCTCCCAGGTCTGCCTAACCCTCTTCTTTCTCTAACTCCCCTCCCCTGGAAAAGACCCTCCTCCTAACCTCAGTGTAGTTTTGATCAGTCTGATACACTGGCTGTGCCCATGGCAAGCCTGACTTCCTTATTAGAATCCAAGTCCTGAGAGCTGGGGTCATTGCCACTTACGAACCAAGTCACCACAGTGGGCCTTTAAAGGGGTGAAGTGAAGTCGTTCAGTCGTGTCCGACTCTTTGCGACCCCATGGACTGTAGCCTACCAGGCTCCTCCATTCATGGGATTTTCCAGGCAAGAGTACTGGAGTGGGTTGCCACTTCCTTCTCCAGGGGATCTTCCTGACCCAGGGATTGAACCCAGGTCTCCCACATTGCGGGTAGATGCTTTACCGTCTGAGCCACCAGGGCAGTTCCCCCTTAAACGAGTTAGAAATCCTTAATTCCCATTTCAAACTGTGGTGTTGGAGAAGACTCTTGAGAGTCCCTTGGACTGCAAGGAGGTCAAACCAGTCCATCCTAAAGGAAATCAATCCTGAATATTCACTGGAAGAACTGATGCTGAAGCTCAAGTTCCAATACTTTGGCCACCTGATACGAAGAGCTTGACTCACTGGAAAAAGACCCTGATGCTGGGAAAAGATTGAAGACAGGAGGAGAAGGGGACGACAGAGGATGAGATGGCTGGATGGCATCACCAACTCAGTGGACATGAGTTTGAACAAACTCAGGGAGATAGTGAAGGACAGGGAAGCCTGGCGTGGTGCAGTCCATGGGGTGACAAAGAGTCAGAGATGACTTAGCGACTGAACAACAACAATTCCCACTTCGAGTCACAGGTTTGAACCTGTAAAGCAGGGTGTTCTGCAGACTATAAGTGGCATGGGAGGAGTGTGCTGCTGGCTCCCTCACTCTGCTGCTGGCTCCCTCGCTCCCACAAACAGCTTTTAAGGTTGGGATGATGTCCTGTACATTTTTGTGTCCCCTGTGTTAGTTAGTCCATCAGAGGGAGTTGTTAGTGCCTGTCCCTTGGGTGACCCGTGAGAGGGCTGGGTGGATTTTTCCCTTTCCTGTCCTCACCCTGCTGACAGTGATGAGCAGATGGAGAAGATGGAAGTGAAACAGCTTCAGAGCCCACCTCTTCCCCGTTTTTGCAGCAACACAGACCTGGGTGGCTGGCCACGTAGTGGGGCTGGAGTTCTGAGGGCTGCAGGGGAGGTTCAGGGAGTGGTATGCGGTCCCCCGGGCGGCCGGCCGTGCTGGGGAAGAGTGGCTCGGGGATGGCGTCCTCGGGGCCCAGGTAGTTGTAGAAGGGGACCCCGTCTGGGCCGTAGAGGCTATAGTGCAGGTCATCGGGCCCGGGGCCGTACTCATAGCCGGGCCGGAAGTGGATCCCGGCCTCCCGCTCGGCTTCTATCCGGGCCACGTTGCAGAGCTGAGCGTAGACCTCTGTCGGGAGCAGTGGGGAGAGAGGAAGCTGGGCCTGGGTTCCTTGGAGCTGAGGCCCAGGGTGCTGTTTCCCGACTCAAGGAGAGAGGGAGGTGCTGGGACCACCACCTCGAGTTCCTGGCGGTGTTCCTCTCCCCCAACCCCGCCCTGCCCCACAGCATCCATCCCCAAACAACAGGGAGGGGAGACAGGCCCAGGCCTTGCCCTCCTCCTTTCTGAGTCCCCCCCACCCTTTCCGAGGTGAGGACACGCCCTACCCCGGGGGGGCCCAGCTCTGCCGCCGTCCCCACCTCTTGCCTTCTCACCTGAGCTCCTGGGCGGGCACAGGGCGCACTGCTGGCTCCAGGCCTCGCCGTCCTGGCAGCAGCACTCCGTGTAGGTGGTGCGGCGGCCATGCAGGGGGTGGCTGCACACGTAATTGGTGACTCTCTTCCAGCAGATATCCATGTGGATGTCGTGGTCAGGCAGTTCCTCTGGGGGCGCAGGACACATGAACCTCCCCAGCCCTGGTCTGCTCCCCCTGCTGCCTCTGCCCCCACCCCATGCCCACTCCCCCTTGCCCCCACCCCTACTGACCCACACCACTGGTGCTGTTCACGCAGCGCTGCTGACTGAGGTCCAGGGTGAGGGGTGGGCTGCAGAAGCAGTGGAAGGAGCCTTCCGTGTTCACACACTCGCCATTCTCACAGGCCATGTCCTGGCACTCGTCGTGATCTGGGAGGCAGGGAGATGGGGAGGAACATCGGGAGCAGTGCCCACGCGCTGTGCCCACCCACTGCCGCCTTCAGGGAAGGGGGTGTTTCTGGTAACTGATAATGCCCCCCCACCTCCCACCTAGTCTGGGAGGCCCCAGCCCAAGGATGGCTTGCCAGTAGGTCCCTCCCACCAACCTCAGACCCGCCTGCTACAGCGGGCATCCTCCCCGGGAAGGGAGACACTCCCAGCCAGAACTGGGCTGCCTGGCAGGGGGGTGGGGGAGCATTCAGCTGTGGGCCCTGGGGTGGGGAGGGGTGGCGAGCGTCCTCACCCTCACACTTCCTGCGGGCGGCATTGTAGTGGTAGCCAGGGTTGCATAGGCAGATGTAGCCGGGCACCGTGTTGAGACACCGGCCGTTCCGGCAGAGCCCGGGCCCAAACATCACACACTCGTCAGCATCTGTGGGAGGGCAGAGCTGAGTGAGGGTAAAGCGAGATGCGGGATGAGGCAGCCCTTGGATCTAGGGGCTCCAAAGCCAGGCTGACTGGGGCCGAATCCCAGCCTTGCCACTCGATGGGCAGGTGACATTGGGCCAATTGCTTAGGTTGTCCCTTGCTTCAGTTCCCTACCTAGAAAATGTGGCTCCTACTCCTTAACCTTGTAGCGTTGTTATGGGGGTTGAGATGTTAATACATGTAAGGTGCTTAAAATAGTGCTTGGTATATAACAAGCACTCAAGGAGAACCATTTCCGTTTCTGCTATTTCCTTTTCCAGTTTCAGGTATGAGTCCACACCCAAACCACCCTTCCTGAGGATGAGTTCCCCAAAGTTTCTGGCTCTGTAAGTGGGGCCAGGGAGATCAGCAGCTGCCTCTGGCCTCTGTCGCTGTGCCCTGGGACTGGGTTAGTCAAGGCATCATAGCTTGTTCCTGGAGGGCTCAGCCTCGGGGAGCAGAGAAACCAAAGTGGGGTTGCCCGGACAATCAGGAGGAGCTCAGGTCAGAACTTCCAGCTAAAGATCTGCAGCCTTGGGACAGGAAGGTTAGAAGCAACCTGAGAGGTGGGGCCTGCACGCAGAGGCCTCCTGGGGAACCAGGCCAGGCCCACTGAGGTGAGTGGTGTTTGGGGAGGAGGGTCTTGGGGAGATTACCTGTGTACGTGGTCTGTCCAAACATCCAGGCTCCTTCCACAGGGATGTAGCCTTTCCCACTAGGGCAGATCTCGCTGAATTCAACTGTGCAGGGAGGCATCCAAGCTCAGAGAGAAAGACTCTGCCACCACCCCCTCCCTGCCCCCCACTTCTTTCTGTGTCACCCTGCAGAGCCGACCCTGAGAGGATCTGGGACCCTTGGGGGCCTTACCTGAGTCCTCATCTGGGCACAGGTCACAGGCATCCCCCCAGCCGGTGCCCTGGGTGCAGCAGCACTCGGCCTGCGTGGTGTTCCGGCCCAGAAGGCTGGAGCAGGGCGTCTGGTCCTTCTGTCCAGAGTAGCATTCCATGCGGATGGGGCCTGGTGGGTGTGCCCCTGGCCGGGCCTCAGAGACACTGGGACCTGTGTGTGACAGATGTCCCTTATTAACGTCTGTTCATGGTCCCCTGGGGCACCCTGGCCTTTGAATTTATTTAACTTTTAAACATTTATATGGCACGTTACAGTGTCCTTTTATTATCTCACTTGATAAGCCTTATGAAGAGCTTATTATCATCAGCTTTCTTTTATAGAAGAGGCAGTTGAGGCTTAGAGAAGCTCGGTGACTTGCAGGAGCCACCTAGCGGCAGATCAGGGAAGTGACCCCAGTTCCTCTGGTGCCACACCCCTGCGCTTCCCAAGATACCATCCTGCCTTCCTCGCCTGCAGTGGGGTGGCCCCAGTCCCGGGCACACCGCACCATACGGGCGTGGTATGGTACACCGTTCCACTCCTCTGTGTCACACTGAACCCATGCCCCTCCCACCCGTCCTCGTTCCAGGTCCTGTTTGCTTTCCCCCAAGTCAGAGAAGGCCAGCTGAGTCCTAGTCCTGGGCTGAGAGGCTGAAGCCTGCAGTTCTGGAGTGGAGTGGGACGGGAGTGAGTCGAGCTTAGCTCCGTTTCAGGGCCTCCCTCACCCAAGAGCTTCCTGGGGTTTGACTCAGGGTCCCTCCAAGGCTCAGATGGTGAGGGACAGGGAAGCCTGGTGTGCTGCAGTCCCTGGGGTCACGAAGAGTCAGACACGACTTGGCGACTGAACAATAACAACCAAGGCTCAATCTGAGCTCCCTGGGCCCAACCCCCTCAAGCTGGCATTAGAGCGTCTCGAGCCTCCTGTAGGGTGGTCGGAGCCCTGCAACCTCTCGGAAGTTCCCGGGGCTTAGCCGACTTTGCTCCACACTCAGCCTCCTCACCCCTCCGCACTCCGGCCCCAAGATGCTCTCCTGCCCACACCGCGGATCAAGAGCTGGAGCAGCGGAAGCGCTGTGTACGCCAGACAGCGGGGGGTGCCCCGTGACGGTGGGGGGCGGGGCTCACCTCCAGCCCCCCGCGGGCGGCAGCGCCCCTCCTGAGCGTCGTACTCCTCCAGGTCGCTGGCGCAGAGGCACAGGAAGGAACCCTCCACGTTCTCGCAGAGCGCCGCCCCGCACACCGCCAGCATGAGCTCACACTCGTTCACGTCTGCCAGACAGGAGGGCCGGCTCGTGAGTGAGGGAGAGGCAGCCCGGGCCCCTGCCCCTGCCTCCAGCCCCGCGGGCACATCCCCGTCACATCCCCCCACTCCCCCATCCCCCGCAGAAACAGCCTGGGGAAGAGCGGGAAGTGGGCATGACTTCGCAGGAAGGAGGACCAGGTGAGCAGAAGGGATGGGGCGGGGAGGGGGGGGAGGAGAAGGGTGGCAGGAAAGGGCCCATAAATGGACAAAGAGGAAGGGTTCCTTCTGCACGTTCCCCAAGCGTGCCTCTTGAACCCTTGAGTCTCCGGGGAAGGGTGGCGCTTTCACTAGTGAGCTTGCTCCCCCTGCTGGTAAAACGGGGCCTCGCTTCCCTGATGAGCTTGCCACGGTGCCCCTGGGGGTGGGGTAGGGGTGCTCCACTGCGCAAATCGGCTGCCCCTCTTTGTGACCCCATGGACTGTAGCCCGCCAGGCTCCGCTATCCATGGGAATCCTCCAGGCAAGAATGCTGGAGTGGGTTGCCATTTCCTATTCCAAGGGATCTTCCCAACCCAGGGATGGGACCCACGTCTCCAGCATCTACTGCATTGGCAGGTGGTGTCCTTACCACTGGGCCACCTGGGAAGCCCAAGGTGCCCCTGTAGTTCAGTTCAGTTCAGTTCAGTCGCTCAGTCGTGTCCGACTCTTTGCGACCCCAAGGACTGCAGCACGCCAGGCCTCCCGGTCCATCACCAACTCCTGGAGTTTTACTCAAACTCATATCCATTGAGTTGGTGATGCCATCCAACCATCTCATCCTCTGTCGGAGGAGCTGAAATCCCCCTTCCTTGTCACTCTATGTTGGGGGCCCCGTATGGAGCCACGTGACCCTGAGCACTTCAGGAGGAGGGCCCTAGGGCCCCTCTATGCAGGGCAGCCAAGATCTGTGGAGACGGGGTCAAGGGCCCAAGAGCCTTCCCTTCCCTGGTTCAGAGCTGGCTAGCCCACAGGCTTCTCACCAACGCAGTCCCAGCCGGAGGGCGAGGTCTCGAAGCCCTGGTCACAGAGGCAGCGGAAGGAGCCGTCCGTGTTGTCGCAGAAGCCGTGGCTCCCACACACAGTATCGTTGGCACACTCGTCTATGTCTGCAGGACAGGGCAGGCTGCAGTGTAGGGCGTGCTCTCTATTCACTGGGAATACTTATTTATCTGGCTTATTAACACCGAGATCTCTGAAAACTAACTTCTGAACACAGAGTGAGAAAACTAAACAGTTCTCTTCAATTTTTGTGTAAGCGCTGCTGTATGGAAAACACACAAACAGTTGCAAAAATAGTTTCTAGCCAGATACGTGAAAAGTAGATGTGGTCCTAGGCCTCCCAGCCCGCACGCCCCCTCCCCACTCACCAATGCAGTCTCCCGTCGGGGCCATGTGGAAGCCAGGCTGGCAGCCCAGCACACAGCGGTAGGATCCAGGGCTGTTCTCACACCTCCAGGCCCCGCACATCGGTTCTCCGAGGTCCTCGCACTCGTCAATGTCTGTCCCCAGGGCCAGGAGAGGGGACAGAAGTGACCAGGTCACTACCCCGACCCCATCTCTCTGGCATTACAAGGTTGTGCCCCTCAACTTCTGAGGTTCTTGACTGGTTCCAAACCACTATGCTCATTTCAACCCCAAAACGTCAAGTTCAGGACCCTTTCCCCTGACCCGCAGGCCTGATTGTCCAGGAGGAGAGCTCTGGGCCTCTGTGACACTCCTTTCCCCCACACCCTTCTCTCCACAGCAGAGTACTGTCTACTTCTCGCTATATAAAACCTTTCCCAAAGTGTATTATGGAGAGCTGTCTTCATATGCCTCCCTTGGTTAGTTTCAAGATTATCCATAACTGTCTATTTGTCCCAACAAAAGACATTGAACCCAGGTGGTGTAAATGTCTACTGCATCCATTTGGCTTTTAAAAAACTAGATTCTGTGCTCTGCTATAGCACAAGGACATCCTGGGGGCAATCCCTGAGTCAGAAGAGGCTGAATAAAGACATTATCCATTGGATGATTTGTCTATGGAAGGTACTCGAAACTGGGGTTCCTGGCCCCAGGGAGCTGAGGAGCTGGCAGGGTGGAGGTGCCTGTCTGTCTGCTGCCGGGGGGCAGAGCCCTTACCCACACACTCCCCGCTCTCCGGGGAGGGCTGGAAGCCAGTCTCACACACACAGTTGAAGGAGCCGTCAGTGTTAACACACTGCCCCCCGAGACACCGGTCCGTGACTGCACACTCGTCCACATCTAGAACAGAGACGTTTGTCAGCAAGGCCAGCCATGGGCCCCAGGGCCTTGTGCGGTTTCGCCCAGAGGAGGGCCAGGGAGTGGCTCGAAGTGGGAAAGGCCTGGAAGATCTGAGCCAGAGTCCAGAGCTGGAAGCCAGAGGCGCGGGTGGGCGTGGAGCCCCGGAGCCGGGCAGGGCAGCGGGCGAAGGCACGTGCCGTAGGCATCGTGGAGAAGCCGTGGAGGAGGGCTCCGAGACCCTCCCTGACGCCTGGCTCCCAACCTCATCGCTCAGCCTGCCATCTTCCCATCCCAGGTGGAAGCGAGCGTTTCATCAGCACGCGGGATGACCTCTAACGCCCCCTGCCGCCGGCTTCTCACCTTGGCAGCTGGTGCCCCCGTCTGCGGGGACGAAGCCGTCCGCACAGAGACAGAAGAAGGACCCGTGGCTGTTGAGGCACTCGCCGCGCGGCGCGCAGTACTCCTCACCCACACACTCGTCCACATCTGCGGGCAGATGAGCAGGTGGTGTCTCCCGGTGTCTCCCCCGGGGCGGGGATGTTCCCAGGGCGTGCGCGATGGAGGGAAACCCTCCGCCCCACCCCGTCCCCGGCCGGGGAGACCTGAGCCACTCACCCTCACACACCGTGCCGTTGGCCAGCTGGAAGCCCGGAGGACAGAGGCACTGGTAGGAGCCAGCTGTGTTCTTGCACTCGCCTCCCAGGCAGCTGCTCTGGGGGTCTTCACACTCGTCCACATCTGCAGGGCCACACCAGGAGATGGTAGTGCGGAGGGGTAGGGTGGGGAGGCGGAACTGATGGGAAGACCTCCCAAGGGCAGGGATCAACAGGGAGGTCTCCAGAGGGCCTGGAGGTCTGCCCCAGGAGACGGGGCCCATAGGCGCACCATCCTCTTGTAAACTGTCAGGGCTGGGAGAAGCTGGCCAGGGAGCCTTTGGGGAGCAGGATGGCTGCAGCTCCTTCCATCCTGCCCCAGCCCAGTCCAGCAGGCTCCTCTGGCCTCCCGATGCCCACACTGTGCTCGCCTGGGGGACACCTGGTCTCTCCCAGCAGCATCCCTGGCCTATGGTGGCCAAACCCTACTGCCCTCATCATGGCTGAGATTTTACAGAAACAACAGGAAAACAACAGAAATAAGCCGAGGAAGCGGATACAGAGAACCTGAGGAGGTAACAGAAAGTGGATCATTCAAATTGGCCTACAGATTGCCCTGGGACTTCCCTGGTGGCTCAGATTCTTTTCCCTGGTAAAGAATCTGCTTGTCAATGCAGGAGACCTGGGTTTGATCCCTGGGAGGGAAGATCCTCTGGAGAAGGAAATGGCAACCCACTCCAGTATTCTTGCCTGGAGAATCCCATGGACACAGGAGCCTGGAGGGCTACAGTCCATACAGTCCATGGGGTCACAAAGAGTCGGGCACGACTGAGCAACTAACACTTTCACTTTCTTTCACAGATGGCCTGGTACTGGCCAGGGTCTTTCAAATAATGTCGCAGCGCCCAACTTTACAAGGAACCCTTGAGGAGCTTGTTAGATAACAGATCCCAAGGCCTCCCCAGCAGACAGATTTAGCCAGTCTGACAAGGCCTGGAAGTCGCATGTCTATCAAACAAACTCCCCATGATTGTGACAAGCACTGAAGCTTTGGTCCAGTGGCTCATTGGCTCCCTAGACCCAGATCTGCAGTTGCCTTTCTGACTCCTGTTTAGGGAGAGAGGGCAAGAATATGCGACCCCAGCCAGCCCACCCTCCAAGGCGAGCTCGCTTCTCTGAGGGTGAAGGGTTAGTCTCCTGCTCCCCGTGGGGGACCTCTCACCTTCACAGCTGTGGCCCAGGGCGCTGGGCTGGTAGCCTGCCTCGCAGTCCCTGCAGGAGAAGGAGCCGGCAGTGTTGGTGCAGACTCCGGACGGGCAGACTCCCGGAAAGGCGCACTCGTCTAGGTCTGGGGGAGATAGCCAGCCAGTCAGTCACGCGGGGGGCCCGGGGATGCCTCCTTGCACCTGGCCAGGCCAGAACCACCCTGTGCCTCTGGCTCCCTCTCTGAGCCTGCTGGACTCTGGGGGCCCCCGAGGAAGGGGAGCCCCTGGCTCTGGGCCTCCTACAGGGCACCCCCGCACCCTCTCCCCGGGCATGCTCCTGGGGTGGCTCGGCCATCAGCTTCCTTCCCCCTTGTTGCTGTGACTCCCTTCTCCTTCTGTCTTCATGGAGAAAACAGAAGCTCAAGGCCATTCACGGGGTCCTCTCACCTAGCCTGGAGACCCCCAGCATCAACCCCAAACCAGGGGACAAACGGAGGGTTCTTTGGGAGGTCCAAGGGCCTGTGCTCTCAGTCCCCGTTGGCCAAGCCCCTCCCCACGGTTACCTTCGCAGGCGGTGCCATCCTCATTCACCCAGTACCCACTCTCGCAGGCCGAGCAGGTAAAGGAGCCCTCCGTGTTGAGACAGAGGCCCGTGGGGCACGAGGCCCGGATGGCACACTCGTCGACATCTGAAACAGGCCATTGAGCTCTGTGTGGGGCTCTCTGCAGGACAGACATGCCAGGCTAGCCGGAGGTTGGCAGGGCAGGGCGGGGTGGGGTTGGGGGGTGTTGGGGAAAGACAGTGTGCAGCAGCGCTGTGTTGGGTCAGCTCAGGGATGTGGGCCAGAGGGAAGGAGCTGCAGGCGGACGTGCCGTGGATGGACAAAGGGGGCTTCGGATCCTTGTACCTTGGCAGCCCTTCTCATCTGGGGTGACTTCGTAGCCCTGCTCACAGGAGCATCTAAAGGAGCCCTCCAGGTTGATGCACGTTCCGTGGGCGCAGACCCCAGGGGTCAGACACTCATTCACATCTGTGGGAGAGAAGTCCAAGTTGACCTCCTGTCCCCCACGCAGCCTCCAGCATCAGGCCGAGAGCGTCTCTGTTACGGGGCCGGGGAACCAGCATTCCAAGGGGCCCTAGCGCCCTAGGAAGAACCAGAGGTCATTCCTGCCCCTGGACCCATCTACCTCGGCCGGGTGCCCTTCCCCCACCAAACTAACTCCCATCCCTGAGCTGACTTCAGCTCCATCCAGTGACACATGGCGCCCTGCAAGTTCTTACAAAAGGGGGTCCAGGTCCCCACCTAGTCCTGGGACTGGTTTGGCCCATCTGAGGACACTTGGAGGCAAGTGTCTAAAGACTCCTGCCTCACCTTAGAGTGAGTCTGAACCTCTCTGGTTTCCTCCCTGCCAACCAAACGGGTATGTTTAAGCCCCATATTCTCAGCCTACCCACCAGCTTCAGCGGGCGAGTGGGTAACACAGAGAGAGGCCAAGTTCTGCCTGGGTGGTTGAGCGGCAGTCTCAAGGGCCTGGGAAATGCCTGCCCTCTCCAGAGCCTCAAAGCCTCTATTCACGACTCAGTCCCTCCTGGCATCCTGAGCCCTGGGCCCTTCTTCCTGCGGGGGCTGAGGGAAAGCGCATTCCTCCTATGGCTGACATGCACCCCCACCCTCCAACCTCCGGAGAACAGCACCGCCGTTTTCTTAGGCATTGCTGTTAGAGGTTGCTCTTGAGGTCCAGGAGGGCAGAAGACCCCTCCTCCCAGAGAACTACATCACTGGCATCAGCCTCTTCCAAAAGACGCGTGGCACCTTCAGCCTACCTAGCAGAACCCAGCCACAGAAGTCTCTGGAACCTTGAGCTGTATGTAGCTCCTGGACGGATATGGCCAAGGAGCCTAAGGCCTCCCCCCACCCCCCGACCCTGGCTGATTCAGAGGGCAGAGCACCAGTAACTGAAGCACACCCACCTCATCCCCAATGTCATCTGGAAACCCAGCTGGGTCACGAAGGACAATAGCCTCCAAGCCATTTCCCTTTGCCCATGCCCCACCCCCCACCCCCCACCACCATGTGTGGGCTCAGCCCAGGGTCCCCAGGCCAAACAGACCCCTCTGTGCCTTGGCAGGCAGCCCTCACCTACACAGCTCCCGCCCTGGCCCCTGTAGCCCTCCTCGCAGGGCAGGCAAGTGTAGGAGCCGGGGGAGTTGACGCATCTCCCATCAGGGCAGGTGCCAGGGTGACGGCATTCGTTGATATCTGAAAAAATAACAGCCCCTGCCTTGGTCATCGCTGGACCCACAGCCCGCGAGTGGGCTGTGAAGGAGCACATCCTTGACCCTGCCCTCGGTCAGGGAGAAGGAGCGATGTCAGTTTCGGTACAGATGGAAACTAGGAAAATGTGAGTGTTCCCCTGTGTTCCCAGCCCCACCTCCCACCCACCGTCCTGGACAAAAGAGAGATGGAAGACCTTGAGGAAGGGAGAAGCCCTGCTGCAGGAGGCCATGCTCTCGCTAGCTTGGGAGGGTGAGAGGGCTTGACGTCATGAGCTGGACTCTTGGGAAGGGCTTCATCTCTCCCTTGTTCGTTTACAAGGGGTGACGATGATGGGATTGGACGTGCTTGGCACAGAAGCCCCAGAGATCCCAGAATAGATCCTAGCTGGGCAATGAAGGCGAAAATGGGCTTCCCGGCACCCAGAAATGAGGACTGAGGATGACTCCCCCAGTCTTTGATGTGGCCAAGACCAGCCCTGAGGCTGATGCAGAGCGAGGCTGACGCAGAGGCTAGAAAGGCTGTTAGAGAGGGGAATTTTCTTCCAGCTGAGAACCACGCCCACTCTGCTGAGATTCAGGAAAGCCAGCTGGAAAGTATGAGTCTAAGCACTGATCAGACAAGAGGCGGATGGGTGAGCCATGGAGGGGGAGGGGCCAGTCCTGGGAGATGAGAACAAGAGGGTGGAGGGCGAGCTTGCTCCCAGGAATGGCACACAGGGCTCTGCCCAACGCGAAGCTGGCATGCTGGGGAGTCCAGCCTCCAAGGCACCCCAGCGACCTGGGCCGAGTTGGGGAGGTCGGAACCTGGGGACTGAACTCTGGGTCAGGACAGCAGGAAGACGTTTGGCTCTTCCGGCCCAGTGTGCAGGCTCCCAGTCACTCTTCACTACAGACGGATTGACTGAGCTCCGGAGGAAACAGGAGGGTTCACCCTCCCTGTGTGGGTAATTGTCGCCTTCCCACAGGAAGTCCACCTCCTCATGGAGATTCAGAGGCCCTACTGACCAGGAGGAAGACCTGCTCAGCACCCAGGGAGAAGAGAAAGGCAGGAGGCAGCGCCAAGGGTCAGAACACAGGCTTCCTGCAAAAGGACTCAAGGCAGCAGCTGTCATGATAAAACAGGACATGGGCCTGGAAGTGGAGGGTGAAAATGAATCTCCTCTGAGGATGTTTGGTCTGCAGAAGACTGGGTACATCAGAGCCCTCTGTTACAGGGAACCGGTCACCTCTCACGGCCAAAACTTCACCCTACGGGTCCACATGAGGAAGACATACACACAGCAGAGGGTGTTTCAGGGGTGTGTGTACTAGGAGATACCCAGAACTCCTGGGCAATCTCAGGGACACTGAGATAAGGCTCATCTCAGGAAAGAGGGCAGCCAAGAATCCCTCGTTGGGCTGTGGTGATACCAGGCTAAACTATTCTAGAAGCTTCTGTAAAAACAGAACTGGAGAGAACAAGACGGAGGTGGAAGAAATGAAGGTTCTAGGGCCATCATCTTTGGCCAGCACCCTGGCCTGCCGGTCCTGGCTAAGATACCAGAAGCAAGATGGGCAAAGCCATTGGGAATGAGCCACAAGTCTGCTTCAGGGATGCGAGACTCGGGGACGAAGAGAAACAGAAGGAGGCAAGGATGCTCCTCTAAGACCACACCGAGGAAAACCGGAGCCTTTGGACCTCTCCTGCAGGGTCAGGCAACATCAGAAGGAGATTAGACTTAGCGGGAGCAAAGGGCTCTGAGCTCTGCCCTGCCCCAAATGTTCTGGGCACACCTGCAGAGGTGGTGCTGGAAGTGCGTCATGTTGGGCGTTAGGAGACCTATGGGACAAATGCTGCTTCCCTGAGAATTCCAGCTCTCACTCTTTGGGTCGTGATGGGCTTATGCCTCCTGGTCCCTTGAGGTTCGGTGGGGCAGGAGGACTACTGCTGGCCAGTAGCTTGGAGTGGATATCATGTGTGTAATCTATGGGCCCAAACACTTATTTGTGTGCAACCTTGCAGAGTGCGTTCTTCCACGGACAATGGCCACATTCAAGATGCTATTCCTTTAGCCTGGTTCAAGGGTGAGAAGACATGGGGCAGGACCCCCAGCAGACCCATGATGGATATGCGGCTTTGGTCAGATATCAAGTCTGCTATGTCCTACATGACGCTAAGGTTGAGGCTGGCTGTTACTGCAGAGTAACCCGGCCTATCCTGGCACACTACCACTGGCTTCCTTCCCCAGACCAGAGCCCCAGCCCGTGATGTTCATGCCTGGGAGGTGGGGGCGGGGGTGGGAGACAGAGGGTCAAAGCAGCCCCCAGTCTCTACCTGAACCAGGGCCGGCCTCTTCTAAATGGGGGCCGATATATCAGAGCCACTAGCCAAGCCATGGATGAAATGGACTCCCTGTTAAAAGCACAGGCTCTGAAGTCACCAGATATCCTGAGGCTGTCCCACCAACCTTTCGGTGCCTGGATGAGAGCCAGATGTTTTTTGCCTAGTCTAGGGTTTAAATTTTAACCTAAGATTATGATATGTTTTGGTAAAGGTTTTACCCTAGTTGTCGGGGGGCAGGCGCTGTCTGTCTTTTTTATGGCTGTATTCTTGGCCCATGGCTGGGACACAGCTGGCGCTCAAGAAGAATTTGCTGACCAAAGAATGAGACCATGTGATTCACTAAAGCTTCACATCCTCTTGGTATGAGGCTGCTGGAAAGACCCCAGAAGACCCCAGGAAACAGTCACCCCAGGGACCAGCTTGCCAGCCTGCTGTCTGTACACCGGGCAGATGGTGGAGCTTCTCTAAGCAGCACTGCAGTCTCTGCTGGAGGAGATGGAAGGGTACTGTGAGAGCCCAAGGTGGGGAGGGTGCTCCCGCAGGGGCTGGACCCATGGGCGACCTTGGCGGTAGGTGGAGGACAGCGGAGCCCTGGCAGTCTGCAGGGGAACTTGCCCCTCTCCGTGGGAACCCAGAATCCCAGGACGACGGAAATGCCATGGAGACTTTGGATGGGCTGCTGTCCAGACCACTCAGGCCCTTCACCAGAGACTGTGAGTTTAAGTGGAGAGAGAGTGGTTTCTTAGTTGGAGGAAGAAGAAAGAGGGAGGGGGAAATTGACTGGGCTCCCAGGGTGATGGGCCGGGGCTGTGGTTACGGGTGGAAACCTGGAGGAGCGTGCAGGCTACATCAGTCTTTCTTTCAACAGACTCAGAGTGTCTGCCCCGGGCCAGGAACTCAGCCTGACCTCCCAGCCAAGGTGTGTGTTTCTGGGACCTTTCCTCCGGAAGGGAAGGGGGCGATCCAGAGGCACAGGCTCAGACACTGGGGGGAGACAAGACATGAGAGAGAACGGGCTCCCCTACTTGCTGCAGGGCTGCCTGCGCACTTTGCATGGTTATTCGGCAGGTTAACCAGAGCCCCTGCGATGGGCATTATGGTTTCCATCTTCAGACACTGAGACAATAAGCCAAACCCAGATCTGTCTCCACCAGAGCCTGTGCCCTCAATGTGGACTGGTTAGTATAAATTTGAGATTTTAGATGTCCTTGGATTTTCCTAGTTCATTTCCTTTGATTTTACTTTTTAATCAGGTCTCATGCCAAATGAATAATGCTGGATGCTTAAATGAGGAAATCTATTGAGTCCCTAGTCCACCACCTGGCACATATAGCAGGCACCCATCAAATGCCAACTCCCTTCACTCTCCCTTCTCCTGGAAAACGCCAGACTCTGTGGTTCAGCAAGCTCATGAGGACAGGGGGTGGGTTCTGGCTTTGATCATAGTGGGCCTGACTTTAAAGGGGGAGGCATTGAGAGGGGAAGGTGAGATGCTCGGGATTCAGACAGGGGTGTGTCTGTCCTACACCCCCTAGTGACCTCTCCCCTTTGTCAAGACCTGCCGGGACTCTGGACTCTGCTTCTGTAGTAGTGGCATTGGCAGTTTGTGAGGACATCAGTGGGCAATGTCACAGCCAACTTGTGTCACTGGGAAAGGGAGCTGGGATGAGGGCTTATTCATTTATTTTTTTCAACTAGTATGTATTGGTCCAATGTATGAACATTTGTCAGGTGCCCACACACGGTCATCTAAGGATACGGTCCAGCTTATAGCCTAACAAGCTTTAGCCAGTAGATCAAGCTTGATGCCTGAGGCCCCTCCCAGATGTCAACCTTCCCTCTACCATGCAACTCAAGTGGTGGGCAGAGGTGCACAGAGGGGAGCCCCTGGGATCTCATCTACATAAAGTTACTCTGTTCCCATGCTGTCAGGGCAGACAGGATGCCAAAATCCCACTAAGGGAACAGAGAGGCTCCTGGAATCCCTAGACAGGTCTCTCTGTGCACAGGAGTGGGCTCAGCATCAAGAAGAACAGTCAGGGGTAAGCTGGAAGGGGAGCTGGTGGTGGGCAGTGCATGGGGAAGGACCAGGAGATGACGGGGAGGAACCAGGAGATGATGGGGAGGGACAGGAGATGGTTGAGAGGGACAGGAGATGATGGGAAGGGACCAAGAGATGATGGTGAGGGATAGGAGATTGTGGAAAGGGACCAGGAGATGGTGGGGAGGGACAGGAGATGGTGGGGAGGGACAGGAGATGGAGGAGGGCAACCCATTCCTTACCTTGGCAATGTCCTTTCCTGACCATGATGTAGCCCTGGTCACACTCACAGTGGTAAGAACCCTCCGTGTTGGTGCACCGACCCCGGCTGCACACCCCTGGCTGCTCACACTCGTCTATGTCTGTGAACACACAGAAGAGTCCTGAGTTGGGGCTAGCCCTGCAGGGGGTCCTGGGGCATCCCCTCAGAGGCCAAGATCAGGGATGTCCATGCTGAGGCCCAGACAGGGAAGACATCCTTGCCACAGGCATGAACGGCAGGGGCTCTGGGGCCGAGTCAGACTGACCTAGCTCAGGCCTCTGCAAACTCATGAGTTTCCTTCCCCCAGGGAAGGTGGCTACTTTGGTGGCCCTTGGAGACCCTCACAGCTGTCTCCTCACTCCAATGCAAGGGCTTGTCTTGAGGTCAGGTGGCAGTGCATATGGCACTGTCTGAGGAGACCACCAAAGTCCCCCTGCTGACCCCAATACCTTCCCCACAGCTCTGCTCCTAGAGTTCTTAGGGGCCTAAGTAAAGGTTAGTGAAGTCGCCCAGTCGTGTCTGACTCTTTGCGACCCCATGGACTGTAGCCTACCAGATTCCTCTGTCCATGGGATTTTCCAGTCAAGAGTACTGGAGTGGGTTGCCACATCCTTCTCCAGGGGATCTTCCCAACCAGGGGATTGAACCCAGGTCTCCCGCATTGCAGACAGACGCTTTGCCGTCTAAACCACCAGGGAAGCCCAAGGCTAGGGATTAAAGGTCAGGGATTGGGATTCCCTGGTGGTCCAGTGGTTAGGACTTGGTGCTTTCACTGCCAGGGGTCCAAGTTCAATCCCTGGTTGGGGAACTAAGATCCTGCAAGCTGTGTGGAGCAGCCAAAAGAAAAAAGTTTAGGAATTAAGCAGCCAGTGCGAGACAGTATCTTAGGCAGCAGTGGATCTGTTCCCGTGGTTTCTTCTATTGTCCCAAAGCATAATGGGGCCCCATAATGGCTTGAAAGCCCAAGCCTGGTCGTGCCTTCTCTGTTAAGGCCCTACCAGGATTCCTTGCTGCTCAGGCTGCGGCCTCATCCCAGCCTTGCTGTGTTTGCTGATCCCCGTTGGTCTAGCCTCCAAGCCTTCAATCGCACAAATGCCTCTGCTTGGTTTGATGGCCAGCAGAGCCCTGCCCCCATTTCAAGGATGGGTTCAATTTATCAACTCTAGATAGCTCTGGCCACCCCCCATTCCCTGCCCAACACAGTCAAATTAACAGAGGACTCGCCTTTTCCCCCCACCCCCCACTCCCAGCAACGGTTCAACACTGAAGCTCTGTGCAGATGAGATGAGGTCATCCAGGTGAAGGGCTTAGCACAGTGCCTGCCTGGCACGAGGTAAGCACTGAATTATTATTGTTGTGCTCAGTTGCCAAGTCATGTCCAACTCCCTGTGACTCTGTGGACTGTAGCCTGTCCATGGGCTCCTCTGTTCATGGGATTCTCCAGGCAAAAATACTGGAGTGGGTTGCCATTTCCTTCTCCAAATACTATTATTATTATTCTAGCACTAAACCTGCTCCATAAAACCCAAGCACCTCTGCCCGGCATGTGATATCTCTCATGACCTGGCCCCTGCCTGATTCCCTCACCATGGTTCCTGCCTCCCACATGCCTCCCAGCCTCAGCAGCCACATGGAACCTGCTTCTGAGCTTCTGCCTGCCCTGCCTCCTTGCCTGGAGAGGCTTCACACCCACCAGCTTGGCTGTCTCCTTTCCATCTCTCAGTGAGGCTGCCCGCACCCCTCCAACACACATGGCCCTTCCCAGGGTTCCCTTAGGGATCCGTAGGGGTGAGTAACTGCTTCCCCCTACCCCGTAGGGGTGAGTAACTGCTTCCCCCCACCCCCACGACTTCTGAGAATGTGCCTTATTATTCCCAGGCCCTTAGTGCCTAGCCCAGAACCCCCAAAGTACCTATTTCATGAGTGGAATAATAAGCATTTGTTTTCAGACAGTGTTTTCATCTGAGCAATACCTCATAACACTTCAGTGCAGAGTGGTAAAATGTGCACTCCGAGGCCCACGTCCAGAGATTCTGACCCAGTAGTACTGGGGTGGGCCTAGGAACCTGCATTTTAATAGCTCTCCAAGCAATTCTGAAATAACTGGTCCTCACTTTGGGAAGCTCTATTCCCAGTGGAAGAGGAAAGGAAACTTGCTAAAGGACTCAGGAACTGCTGGGGCCAGGATGACTGCTGGATGAATAAGGCTTGGAAAACTGACTTGTTCTGTGGAGAAAAATGGAAATGGAAAAGACTCAGTCTTAACACCCATACAAGTATGGACTCCAGATGGATTAAAGCATGTTGTGAGGGATTTCCCTGGTGATCCAGTGGCTAAGACTTCGTGCTCCCAAAGTGAGAGGCTGGGGTTGGGTCCCTGATCAGGGAACTAGATCCCACACGCCACAACTAAGACCCAGCACAACCAAATAAATAAAATACATAACTAAATTAAGTAAATAAATAAAAAGAACATGTCATGAAAGGCAAAACTGTAACTGTAATAAAGGAAGATGTAGACTATATTTGTGACTTACAGTGGGGAAGGAATTTTTACATAAATCCCTCAAAGCATAAAAATAAAGCAAAAAGGTGAATTTCTGTGCACCAGAACTATGAATTTCTGTTCAAAGAAGGATTCGTGGATAAGGTCAATGGGCAGAGGACAAGACGTAAAAATTATCATATCTAAACGCAGGCAAGTATCTGGAATATATAAGGAACTCCTAAACAGCCACAAGGAAAAACAGGAATGACCACTGAACTGAGCAAAAGATGAGGACAAGCAATTTCTAGGTAAGGAAACCCAACGGCTAACATATAAAGAGATGCTCGTATTTACTAGTAAAGCAAGTGTTATTTTAAATATTTAATTAAAACTATTATTTAATAATAATTATTGCTCAGTCATGTCTGACTGTTTATTACCCTATGGACTGTAGCCCACCAGGCTCCTCTGTTCATGGGATACTCCAGGCAAGAATACTGGAGTGGGTTGTCATTTCCTCCTCCAGGGGATCTTACTGTCCCAGGAATCGAATCTGGGTATCCTGCATTGCAGGCTTGGGGAAGCTCAAATATTTAATAGTCAAATAATTTGTTCTAGAAATTGTAATGGTTTCTATTAATTATATAAATTAATGAAATAATTTATAAATAAAAATATTTAAAATAAGGAGATACTCTTTTACGAGAGCAGCAACATTTAGAAAGTGGATGTTTTCAGATGAGTCCTCATCAGGTGGCAGCCAAGCCCTGTTGGAGAAGCTCTGAGAGCTGACCTTGAGCCTCCAGCCTCCTCCCGCAGCTGTCAGGCTGGCAGAAACCTCCAGACACCCAGGCTGGCACGCAGCAGGATCGCTTGTCTGGGTCAGACCTGGTCACACCCTTCCCTGTAGCAGCCACTGCCTATCCCGGGCCAGCACCTTGGGCTGGGCCTGCAGGGAGCAGTGCCTCCGGCCCACAGCACTTGCCAAGGCTGCAAAGCCCAGCAGAGAAGGCCCTTAGCCCCCAGGCCTCTGCCCTCGATAACAGCACTGCTGCCTGAGTCACCTCCCTGGGAGCCGGCTGACCGCACCGCCGCCCTCTGCTTGCACACCTCTGCTGGCGGCCACTGTCTGTGGGCCGGCGACCAAGCACGTCAGCCTGGCGCTCGAGACACTTAGCAAACTGGCGTCGGTTCCCGCCACTTCCTCCACATACCGGGCGCTCCCGTCACTCTGGATTTATCGTTATTCCCAGAGTGCGCCAGGCTTGTTCATGGCTCTGCCCTCTGCAGAAGTGCTTCCCTTCCCCTGAAATACCCTCCGCTTCCTCTTTTCCTTCACCATGTGTGTGTGTGCGTGTGTGCGTGTGTGTGTGTGTGTGTGTGTGTGTGTGTGTGTGTGAGGGAGGGTGTTGGAAGCAAACCATGCTTTGGGGCCAGGACGATTTTGATTCTGCTTCCAGCTCAGCCACGGCTCTAGGTGTGAGGTCCCTGGGTGTTTCAATTCACCTCTCTGAGCCTCAGTTTGTTAAACTGTGAAATGGGGATAAGGGTTTCTACTGCATGGGGTTGGGTGGGATGATGAGCGTCACAAAATAAAGGGCTCACGATGGCGCTGGCACATGAGAACAGCTCGTTAAATGGTAGCTGTTATTATTCTGGCCCCATTCGAACATCCCTGTGGGAAACCTTCAGACTTTCTTCCATACGGAACCAATGCGTCCTCATTCCACAGTGCCAGAGTCCACGCCTTACTCAGTGCAGTTCCCCTAGAGCTCACACGGCTCCCCGCGAGAACCAGAAACGCGAGTACTGAGAACAGCAGGGCCATTCTCCAGGTGTAGGATTCCGACTGGGTTATGAGTCTTGCACTGCTTGGAAACCACTGCATCCCACTCTCTGTAAACTCATTACTAAAAATGTAAGAGGAAAGTTTCACATGCGGCACAAATGCTGCATATTAAAGGGCCTTTGTTGTAAAGGCCCCATGCAGAGCTTCCCAGGGAGGCTTAAAGCTTGCAGGCATCTCCCAGCAAAGGCGCCCCTGATCCCCAGGCTGCCTGGAGTCCCAGCTGGTGTCCTCACAGGTCACCCTCTGTACCCAACAGGAAAGAAGCTCCTTGTCACTCAGAATTTGGGGACCTGGCTGCTTGTCTTCATCTCCAGCCGTGTCCTGGGGTTTCCCCTCACACTCTTGGCTCCCATCACAGTTTCTTGGAGTGCTGGTGAATATTTTACTGCCTTTCAGATTCGTACCCCTCCATCTGGTCTCAGCGACCTCAGCCTCAGTGTAGGTTCTGCATCCTCCCAGGTCCAGGTCTGAGCCCTGGTCTCGGTCCCCGCATTCCGCACACTGCAGCACTGTGACTAGGTGCTGCAAATGCCTGGATCCTCCTCCACCCAAACACTGCCTGTGGGGTCCTGAACCCCTTCCAGGAGCAAGGGCGGCTCAGCTTACCTTGGCATTCCTGCGTGGCCCCCGAGGCGGCCAGCTTGTAGCCAGGGTAGCAGAAGCAGGAGTAGGAGCCCACGCGGTTGACACAGCGTCCCCTTCCCTTGCAGGGGTCCCTCAGACACTCATTGTCATCTGAGCAGAGGGAGATGGGGAGGGCAGTCAGGGAGGCCTTCCTTTGGGTACCTGTGAGCCACTTGCCATGCTAAGGGCTGGATAGGGGATGGTGCTGTGGGGCAAGGAGGGGCTGAGGGAGCAGAGGAGGCTGGAGAGATGAAAAATCTCTGAGCCTGGGGACCTTGAAGTCTGTCCATTGGGCTCATTCAGGAACCAAGGGCCTGGGGCAGTGGCCCCACACCCCCTTCTCTGCCCCATGTCCCTGTTCCCCAGGGCCCCGTGATCATTTCCTTTCTCCTTCAAGGCACAGCGGATGTGTCTCCCTTGTATAAAATCCTGGGGGAGTGAATCAGGCCCACACTGAATGATTTATGTGTTGTGCCTCCAAACCTCTCCCCCGGGTATGGCCGTGGTGGAGACAGCAGGTCAGGCTTCGATCTGCCCATCAACCACACAGCACTGCTTGGACTTTCGGTTGCCTTGGCCTCTGGACTGGCCCCCAGCCCTGCCCCCACCCACCCTAGCCACCGAATGAGCCCTGGCTGCCCGCGTGGACACCTGTGCAGTAGGCCTGGCTGGGGTGTAGCCGGTAGCCAGGGCTGCAGATGCATCTGTATCCATCTGGGAGGTTCACGCAGGTGCCTGGGCCACAGATGTTGGTGGCCCCAGCAGCACATCTGTCAATGCCTGTGGGAGATAGCACAGCTGAGGCTGTGGCGGGGTGGGGACGGGTGAGGGCAGTGGGCTGGGATGGGGGGAGGATGGGGGCAGGGCACGTGAGTACAGGAGCCTCACCCCAGCCTTGGCTGGGCCCTCCCACATCCACGTATAGCAAGGCCTTATATAAGACTCCACGCACGGCCCCTCTTCCAGGGACCCGAGCCCTACCAGGATGGAGCATGCAGTAGTGCATCCTTCTGACCGAGACCCAGGAGTTCCAGTAACCTGTGTCCTACGTCCCAGCAAAGGGCCTCCGCCCCTGAGCCCCCAGGCTGACCTCATCCTGAATACAGGGTCAGTTCTCACCCCAGAGAGAGGGCTTCCCTCCCCTGGAACACCTTGCCCAGTTTCTCCCAGACAGGCAGACAGATCTGGTGAGCAGGGTCTTGGGAAAACTGCCAGGCGATGAGGGTAGATGTGGGCTGGGGCCCAGCTAAGCAGGGCCTTGAGTGCCACACTGAGACAAGCTGGTAAGAAAGGGGGTCATGGGAGTCGGGGTATGATCAGAGCCATCTCAGGAAGACCACGCCTCTCACATACCACCTTGATTAGAAAAGCAGGAAGGTGGCAGTTGGACTAGGGTGGGAGGGGAGGCACAGGGGCCCCTAGAAACCCACCGAAATGAATTAAACACGGACTTCCCTGGGTGGTGGTAATGGGGTAGAAAGCAGGAGATGGATACTGAATTCAGAAACAGTTTGGAGACTCACCAGGACTCAGGGCTGAGGCTGCATGGAGGGCAGAGATTATAGCTCTTTTGAACTTGTGTCCTTAACACTAGAAAAGTACCTGGCACTTAAAACACACTGAATGAACAGATGACTGAATGAATAAGAGAGGCTTTCACTGGAAGTCTTAGCCCGAAGCCTACACACCCAGGCTCCCCGCCCTGCCCCACAGCACTGAGGAAACCCTCGGAGACCCCAGGGAATGGGCCGGGACGTGCCTGTGTTGGTGCATAACGGGGCTTCACAGTGTTTGCTAGATTGAACTGAACTGAATGCCCACACTGGCCGGTGTGTGAGGCTACCCTGCCCCTGGCCTGGCTCCGAGTTTGTGTCAGCCTGGGGGCTCAGGAGGACCTCTAACCAGGAGCTACGTGTCCTCCCCAGGAGGTAAGGCTGGGGATGGCAAGGGGGGAAAGGGACCAGGAGAAAGGTTCTGGGCTGTGTGCAGGGCGGGGGGTGGTGGTTTCGTCCGCACATAGCTGACGCCCCAGCTCCGCCCCTGAACCCAGCTCGTCTTGCCTGCTGGGTGGAGGGGGGCCTAGGACACTCCCTGGAGCTGTGCACTGAGCCTAGAGAAGAGGGGTCCTGGGGAGGGCAGAGGAGACGCCCTGGTTCAGGCCTCGGAAGGCCAAACTCCCAGCCCAGTTCACTCTCTGGACTGTTTCCTCAACCTGCAGGGTCTCTCCCTTTGCTGAAGGAAATATCCCTCACGCCGAGGTGACCTCAGTCTATGAGGTTAGAAGCAGCAAGGCCCTGATGAGGGCACTCATGGGGGTACACACACGAGCACACAGGTGGACACACACACACACGCGCGAGCAGACACACGAGCACATACATGAGCGCACACACATGAGTGCACACACATGAGCGCACACGAGCACACATGTGAGTGCACATAAATGAGTGTGCACATGTGAACGCACACGAGCACACACACACATGTGATTGCATGCGCACGAGCACACACACATGAACACACACAGACACACATGAGCACACAGACGAGCACACGCATGAGCACACAGATGAGCACACACGTGAGCACACAGACGAGCACACACGCGAGCACACATGCACACGTGAGCATACACACATGAGCACACATGCGAGCACATATGCACACGCAAGCACACACACGTGAGCACACACGTGAGCAGGGAGCAGCTGTGCCAGCACCAGCCCTGCTTCTCTGGAACCAAGTCCCCAGACAAGGAGGCTTTGAGGAGGGCGCATTCCAGAGCAAGGTGGATATGCCAGGGCTCTCCCCCGCACCACACCCCCTCACCGCAGCAGTGGCCAGAGCCGGGGACGCAGGCTCCCAGGCAGCCAAACAACCTTAGACATAGAATCACTTTCCCTCCTGAAAGTCGGCCTTCCCCATGGGCAGGAGGCTGCCCGCCGCCAGGGCACTCAGCCAACTCGGGGTCAACAGCCTGGAAGAGTCAGGATCCTGGAGGCCCCATGGGCACCCCTTCCTGGAGAGGGTCCCCTGGGTTCTCCTGGAAGGCGAACTCTCCCTTCCCTTTCTCCTGCCTGGCCTGCCTGGTGCTCCAGACAGGACTCCTCTGGTCACTAGGGGCGCCCTGTGCCCTCTGTGGGATGCAGCTGGGGGTGCTGACCCCAACAGGAGTCCACTGAGTACTGTGCATCTGGGGGGACAGCCGGGAGCACCTCGAGGGGCTGCTGCACATACCTGAGGGCGCCGGGGTCACCAGCGCATCGGTGGGGGCAGTCACTTGTGCTTCTTCCGTGGCCTCTGGGATCCCCTGTTCAGGCATTGACGGCGTTGGTCTTCCCAGGGCAGCTCCTGTGGTGGGAAGAGGGGTGGGGGTGCAGGTGGGCCTTGGCCCCTGGACTGCCCACTTTCCTATCTCCGAGACAGCATTCCCTCCAGAGCTGCCAGGCAGTGCCCTTCCCTCCTCCCTGCCATCAGGCTCCGAGAACAAAGGCTGGAGCCTGGGCGGGTCATCCCCTCTGCCTCCTAGTCTCCTGAAACTCCACTTGGCTACAAACAGTCAGAGACTCTAAGAGCACACCTAGTCTCACCCTCCGCTTCTCAGGGGAAGAGGCAGAGGCTTGCGGGAACAGCCACTCATCCACGGCCGCTAGCTTGTTGGAGACAAGCCGAAGACAGGGCCTACTTCAGCTTTCTCCTGCTGCTTGCAAAACATTTTAGAGTTACAGAGCTCTGCCTCCAACACCAACATCTCACCTGCCTTAAGAGGCAGTGGGGCAGGCATTCGTGTACACCTCACAGCAGAGGAAGCTAAAGCTGACTTCTGAACAGTATCCTGTCCCCAGCCAGCCAGCTGGGCTCTTTGGAGCTCTAACCATCTCCTGATGGGCTCTGCAAAGCTCTAACCATCTCCTGAAGGAAGGCAGGCCTGGGAGCAGGGCCCTCTGAACTTGACCTGCCCCCACTTCAGCCAGCTTTTCCTCTTTGGTCTCTTTTATTCCTCTTTGGTTCCTTTCGGTCTCAGTACCATGAAGGGTAGAGCGAGTGCTGCAGCTGGGGAGGTATTCGCAAGGCTTGGAGGTGTCTTTCACTGACCTTCTAACACCTTAGGTGTACAGAGCTCCCAAGAAAAGCGTTCACCTCTCACATCACCCGCAACCTCACCTGATCCGAGCCTCTGGCATCAGCTCACATGTACTATTGCTACTCCTAGTTAAAGTCTTTCCTTCCCTCCCTTTGTTTCCTGGGCGCTACTAGGAGGAGGCACTCACCTGGGACCCAGGTGGATAGCTGGGTAACACTGGTTGTCACCTGCACAGAAACGGGAGAAGATCTCTCACTGCCTGGAGAATCCCATGGATGGAGGAGCCTGGTGAGCTACAGTCCATGGGGTCTCATGACTGAAATGACTTAGCACACAGTTCTAGACCTCATAGGCTGTGATGCAAGTCTGAGCCACAGCCAGGGCTAACGGGACACATTCCTGCTCACTTTCTGAAGGGCTCCCCCCACCCCCGACCTTCTCGAATGACAGAACTTGCACTGTAGCTGCCAGAAAAACCAGAGCTGCGATTATTACTTCTTTTAGGGTACAATTGGGTCTTGGGATCAACCCTCTCACTTTTGCTTCTCTGTTAGTAAAATCCTATGTACACTGGATCGTTCTCCCTTCCCCCCATCATGTGACTTTGCCCTGCAGCCTCAGCACTATACCAGGTCCCAGTCTCTGCCACCTTTGCCCAGCTCCTTGGTGGGATGACTCACTCACCTGGCCGGCCTGAGAGTCACCTAGGGAGGAAAGGTGAGAGCATGAGCTCAGCGAGGACACGTATGGCTGCCTGCTCCTGCCCCACGGCCAGGGCTGGTTCACTCTGTGACCTCCCTACTTGGTCCACAGCAGGCCCAGTGGCAGAGAGAGCTCTGACTCATCTTACCTGCCCCTGCCACCCTTCCAGGACTGGCCAGCCCAGATCCCAGGATCCCTGGTCTGGGGGGCCTACAAGGTGGTCAGCTGGCGAGAGGAAACCTCTGGCTTTCCTTGAACGCCACTGGCGACAGGAGTCCCACCCGCTCTGGGGCAGTCCGCCCTTTCTCACTGCAACCCTCCTTGAGCTGCCACCTCCACCCTCCCAAGCCTCCCAGCCACACAGGGTTGCTGTGCCCTGGGCCCAGGCTACAGGGCAAGGCAACAGTTCTAGGAAGTGGGGTATTGCTCTTGGCCAGCACCCAGTTACCATGGTGACTGGGGCTCTGCCTGACTGCCCTGTCGGTCTGTCCCTGATTCGCGGAGCACTTTGTTCATCACATAGTTCTCCCTGTCCTAATACGCCCTTGTACTCCATGCTACCAGTAACCCAGGGGTGCCTTCTGCATGGTTTGCCAGGGCACCTTCGAGGGGTGCCTCAAGCCCCATATCTTTCCAGCCCCAAGTCTCCTGGGCCCAAGGCAGCTGAGCTGGAGCCAGTGCTCTGACTCTAAGGCCATGGGAAGGGATCCGAAGCCCCCAGATTCCCTAGAATGCACCTGATAGCTCCTCCAGGAGCCAGCGCCAGTCCCAGAAGCGGCGTGGCAGGGGCAGGGGATGGCAAGGCAGGGTCAGCGGCGGTAAGGGGGCAGATGGTGCTATGGACCCCCCACCAGCAGCTCTCTGGGACACGGGCACCTCTTAACCCCAAAGGAGGAGGTGTGGTCTTTCCATCAGGCCGTGTGGCCAGGTTCCCAAGGCCGTGCTACGTTTCCAGCCCCCTTTCCTAACACCCCCGAGGTGGGACGCCATGGGCCCAGGGTAAACACCCCACGGCTCCTTGAGGGGCTGTAACCTGAGGGGGCGGGGAAGCCCTCTGACCTCCTCCCCAAACCAGATACCCTTGTCGGGGACGGTCTCTGCCTCCACCCAGGTGCTGGTGGCCGCCCGCAGTGGCTGCCTCTCTGCTGGCCTGGGCAGGGTCCCGTTGCGCTTCGGGCTGCGCTCCCTCGAGGGCCGGGCCAGTTCCTCCTCCTCAGCTTTCCTCATGGACAGGCGGATGTCCGAGCTCGAGTAGGTGTAGCCGTGGCCCGCAGGGCAGATCTCCCTGAAGGCCTCTGCGAGTTCAAGGGTCAGGGGACCAGCTGAGGGCTGCTGTTCCCACAGGAAGCCAGGGTCCTCCTTTCCCTCCCTCCTGGGGGACAGGGCAACGTGGCAGCAGGGAGGGAGGGGCCCCAGGTTGGGTTAAGGAGTGGGTCAGGGAGGAGGACTCAGGGTCTCTGGCCTTAGGTTAGGCCCAGGGCGGGGATGGGGGGCAGGGGCAGACAGTGGCCACTGGCATGGAGGAAGCAGCTCGGTGGCCGGGGCCGAGAAGGGGACAAAGGGTTACCTGTGCCAGGCAAGGGGCATTTCTCACACAGGCTGCCCCAGGCTTTGCCCACTCGGCTGCAGCAGCATATCTGCTTGGTGATCCGCTGGGCCAAAGGCAGGGCGCAGGTGCCGGGCCCCAGCAGCCGGTAGCACAGCCCCTGCTGCATGGAGACGGCCTTGTCCGCTGCAGTGGGCACGGGGCAGGTGAGGGTGGGCAGGTGAGGGTGGGCAGGAGGGGGTGGGCAGGAGGGCGGTGGGTCACTGGGTATGGCGGCAGGTGGGGGTGGACAGGTGGGGGGCGGGCAGGTAGCCAGCAGGAGGGGAAAGGCAGAGGATGGTGGAGTGGCTGGCCATGGGGGCTCAGATTGGCCAGGCCTGTGTCTCGGTGTAGAAGTTGGGGCCCTGAAAGTGCTCACAGAACATGAGGGAGAGTGGCTGCAGGAATGCTTCAGCCCCTCCTCAGGTTATCTGTTTGAGGGGCCTGGACGCCCACCCTCACGTGGGAAAGCTGAGAGCAGGGAAGGGGATGTGCCTGCCTGTCTCAGATTCTCAGTCTACGGGGTTGACAAAAGCATCCTGGGGCGCACACGTGGGGAGCGGTGTGCCCTGAGGGCCACAGGGTCTCCCTGGGTAGATGAGTCGACGTGAGATCTTTGAGGAGCTTTGAGGACAGGGGCCCTGCCTCGGTCATCTTCGCAGCCCAGGCAACCTGGGTACTGTCTGGTGCAAGTGGGTGCTCAGTCAATGCTCGCTGATGGATGGACAGAGGGCTAGATCCATGAATCAAATCCTCTGGACTTCAGTGAATGTGAGCCACACTGGGCTTAGAGAACAACAGCCAGGGCCATCTCTGCCTCCCTGCCTGGAGGATCTCTTTCCAGCATTAATAAATAAGTGACCATCAACTCTTTCTGACATGTTCTCCCCATTCTGTATCCCCTCATCCTTTGCTGTCTCCTCTTATTATCTCCTTGCCCTGGGGACACTGGGTCCAGTCTCTCCCTTGCAAGGGTGCTCCCCTCCCTCTTGTGAGGGTGGTGCTCGAGTCTGTCTGTCTTGCGGTCTCCCAGACCCAGTGAACTTGGCAGTTCATAGACTAAGAGCTTGGCAGGCCACAAGGAGCTTTGTTGAGCCTTGGGTGGCCGACCTGAGCTGGGTTGCTACTTTGCAGAGTCCAGTCGAGACTGGTTTTATTCAGTACTGGTCAGGCCTCCCTGGTCAGGCCTCCCTGGTCTGGGCTGTGGTGTCAGTTCTGCCATGGGGAGTGGCAAACGGGGGAGAGCGGTAGGGGGGTCATGGGCAGGCGACTGCTAGCCTGGGCCTCTCCCAGCTGGAAACCACAGAGGTCCCTGGAAACAGCTGCCTGAGTGTACATACAGGCATGCACACAGACACAATGCTGATATGACTAGTGGCACATCCGTGCTCACAGATGCAGAGCACGTCCAGACATGGGGACCACGGGATTTACGGAAAGGCCCTGGGGCTGGCAGGCTCTTCCTACGATGGGCAGGCTCTTTAAGAAAGGTCTGCAGCGAAGGGCCCAGGCAGTTAGGCTCAGGCGCTGGAAGAGGCAGCCACTGCTCAGTGAGACATCACAGCAACGTACATACCCCCAAAGCAGATGAGGCAACAGATGGGACAGCAATGATTAGAGAGAAACAGAGGAGGTAGAAAATCCCAAACTGCAAAGCCTTCAAAGAAACGCCTGAAGCCACAAGAGAAGCAGTGACTGTCTCCATCCCAGTAGGACGAAGCCCAGGGTGTTTGTTGGCGCCCAGTCCTCGGTGGCGTGGCAGCCTGGGGCCTGGGGGCGTTTCTGCTCTCAGCCTGGCCTGTGGACCCCGAGGGTCCCATCTTGCCCCGCAGCGCCCCCACCCGGCCCCTCCCTGCACTCACACACACAGCGGCTCCTGGACGGATCCAGCAGGAGGCCGGGTCTGCAGGTACAGAGGTAGCTGCCCCTCGTGTTCACGCACTCCGAGTCCTCGCACAGGCCCAGCGTCAGGCACTCGTTGACATCTGCGGGGAGCGGGGACATGACCAGGTGCCCACTCCACCCCACCCACTCTTGATGGAGGGGAGGAACCCAGGCAAAGCTCTGCTATGATTCTCCAAGTAGAAGAGCAGCAATAAGAGAGCTCTTTACTCAGTGTGATCCCTCTCGCTGGGCCTCAATTTCTCATTTGTAAAGTGGGGATAATAATAGTAACCACCATGTAGTCCCATTAGGGGGATAAAATTAGATAAACATTGCAAATCACTGGGTCCAGGAACTGGTGATTATGGTCATAATGTTAAGAGCTAGTGTTCATTGAGTGCCTAGCATGCCAGGGACCACACCAGATGGTTTGTATATGATATGTGTGTGTGTGTGTGTGTGTGTGTGTGTGTGCGCGCGCGCGCACGCGCGCGTGTGCTCAGTCAATCAGTTGTGTCTGGCTCTTTGTGACCCCATGGATTGGAGCCCACCAGGTTCCTCTGTCCCTGGGATTCTCCAGGCAAGTGGGTTGCCATTTCCTACTCCAGGGGATCTTGCTGACCCAAGGATCGAACCTGCATCTCCTGCACTGGCAGGCAGATTCTTCACTACTGTGCCACTTGGGAAGCCCTTGCACATATCTTATTTACTTCTCACAATTTTATCAAGTAGGTCCATGTGGCCTCATTTTACAAGTGAGGAAACTGAGGCTCCAGGAGTGATTTGCCCAAAGTTGCTCAGCTAGTAAGTGGCATCCTGGGAAGTAACGAGGAGGTCCGTCTAGTCAAGGCTGTGGTTCTTCCAGTAGTCATGTATGGATGTGAGAGTTGGACTATAAAGAAAGCTGAAAGCAGAAGAATTGATGCTTTTGAACTGTGGTGTTGGAGAAGACTCTTGAGAGTCCCTTGGACTGCAAGGAGATCCAACCAGTCCATCCTAAAGGAAATCAGTCCTGAATGTTCATTGGAAGGACTGATGTTGAAGCTGAAACTCCAATACTTTGGCCACCTGATGCGAAGAGCTGACTCATTTGAAAAGACCCTGATGCTGGGAAAGATTGAAGGTGAGAGGAGAAGGTGACAACAGAGGATGAGATGGTTGGATGGCATCACCGACTCAATGAACATGAGTTTGAGTAAACTCTGGGAGTTGGTGATGGACAGGGAGGCCTGGTGTGCTGCAGTCCATGGAGTCGCAAAGAGTCGGACACGACTGAGCGACTGAACTGAACTGAACTGGCTTAGGAGGTGGAGAATGGTGCCCAGTGCCTCCTATTCAGTCTTTCTTGAGAGACCCTGAAGCATCTCTGCTGGACCCAAGATCCAAGGGTCATGTCCATGGTGAGAAGCTGCAGGATGGCAACTTCCAAGCTGCAGTTGCTGAGAACTTCTCCTCAGAAAGAAAGAGGAGGTGAGAGGCTGGAGGCAGGTACTGGGAGGAGGGCAGGGGAGATCCCAGCCCTCACACTCCAAGACGTCAGAAGCTCTCCTGCTGATGGCACCTTTGTTGACGATGGTGAACATGGAAGATCTGTGATGGGCACCCAGCTCCAGGGCCCGCAGGTCATACTCGGCAGCCCAGAGCCATCTGCTTGCCTGAAGCCTTTGGGAGGAGTAGGCACTGGGCACAGGAATAAAGATGCTGAAAGACGACCCAGCTTGGGCACCAAGGGGAGCTACTCCTTGCTGGATGTTCTATTTGGGGGGGGGGGGAGCTGAGAAGGGGAACTGATCCATTTGCCTCCAGACTGCGGACCAAGTGACATCTAAACACAAATCTGAGCTGCCTCCCATCTGCTTGAGAAGCTTCTGGGCTCCCCATCACCTCCTAGAGGGAGCCTCTAAACCCTCACCTGGTACCCAAGGCTCTCCATCATTTTCCAAAAGCCTGTGGCTGAACCGGTGGCTCTGGTGAGACCCTGGGAAGCCTGTGTTATCTCCTGTGGATACACTGGCGGTACTCCAGCCAGCCCAAACTGTTCCTTGGCTCATGCTGGTTCCTTGGCCTGGAATCCCCATGTCCCTTTTTAGATGGCCAACCCTACTCTACTTCCCAGGTGGCGCTAGTAGTAAAGAATCTGCCTGCCAATGCAGCAGACCCAAGAATGCAGGTTCGATCCCTGGGTCGGGAAGATCCACTGAAGGAGGAAATGGCAACCTACTCCAGTATTCTTGCCTGGAGAATCCCATGGACAGATATACCTGGAGAGCTACAGTCCACGGGGTTGCAAAGAGTTGGACATGAGTGAAGTGACTTAGCATATAGCACAGCACACTCATTTTTAAAGTCTAGGTCAGATATCACTGCATTGCAGGCGGTTTCTTTACCAACTGAGCCACGAGGGAAGCCCAAGAATACTGGAGTGGGTGGCCTATCCCTTCTCCAGCGGATCTTCCTGACCTAGGAATCAAACCGGTGTCTCCTGCATTGCAGGCAGATTCTTTATCCACTGAGCTATCAGGGAAGCCCGGTATCACCTGGAGCCTTCCCTGATCTTCCAGTCTGGAAGGGATGCCATAGCCCCCAGTGCCTCCTCCTCTCGAGAGCACTTCTCTCATTGTGTGAAGTTGTTAAGGCATCTGTCTTCACCTGGGACAGTGGCTGTGTCTTGTCCATCACTATGAACTAACACCTAGTGCAATGTATGCAGCTCATAGCAATACCCCCAGATTAGCCTGTGGAAGTAGGAGACAAGGATGGAGATAATAGGGACGGTACCTACAGGTACAGAGACGAGGGGTCCCATCCCAAACAGGGAGATCACAGCCACAGACATGGGTGGGGGGAGGTTTCAGGGGCAGGGTCTCCTGGGGAGGGCCCCTCAGGAGCTTGGAGGAGGGAAGGTGGAGAGCCCGTCTGAGACCCTGGGAATCACTTTAACCCTGCAGACCGGGAGACCTGCCTGGCAGAGAGGCCACTGGGGATGGTTTAGATATGAGGAGCCCCACTGCACTCTCTAAGGGCAAAAATACTAACTTCTCTGCACACCCACTGGCCATGAGGTCCTTGCTTCATTGTCCCTGAGGGAGGCTGATCCCCCGGGCTGGGCTGGATCAGAGGCCTCTCCCTTGCCTGGTCCAGGCACCGGTTCTTATTCGTGGGCCAGAAATCCCCACAGGCAGAGATAGCCCAGACTCCTCTCTCCTAAAGAAGCCTCTGGGGGGCAGGGGGGACCTAGGAGGCCATCTGAGTCAATCTCCTGCCTCTAACCTGGCTTCACCCAAAGCAAACCATACAGACAGCAATTTGTCCAGTTCCCCAAAGGGCATTTGTCTCAACCCCAGGCGCCTCCCAGGGGCTAGCAGACCCAGTTCACATCACACCTCTTGCCAGGTCCACAGCCAACAAGGGCTGCCTGCTCAGAGCCATGGCTGAGTGCCCCACTTCCCATTCTTACGTCCTGAGGTGCCCGTGAACCTTGTCCCTCTGGGGAGTCTCTAACGCAGAGCACCCGGGCCTCAGCTGGCTTTACAGAGCCTGCCAGCCAGGTCAGCAAGGCCCGGAGACGGTGCTTCAGGGTCTCTTTCCCCCGGCCCCCACCTCTGCCTGTGCCCACCCCACTCCAGGAAGGAGTCCTGAGCAGCTGAGGGGCTTTGCTGGGAAAAGTCCACAGAGGTCCCATCTTTGCAGGCTGACTTGATCTCCCACGCTGGAGCCCAAAGTCCTCCTGTTCCAGGGAGAGCAGCCCAGAAGGGAGTGGGTGTGCAGGGATAGCCCCCTGAGTTGCCACACCATACAGCCCTAGATCTGGGTAGGGGTCGGGGGAGAAGGGGCGGAGGGGACAGTTTGGCTCCCAGGCGCTGGCTCAGCCTGCACCATCACTGCCCTCTGACCTCCGAGGCCCTGGAGCTGGCAGCCGCCCCCCACCCCCCGCCCCAAGCTGGGGCTTGGTGGCCCAGCGAAGAGCACTCAGACTGTGACAGCCGCCACGTCTATCACGGGGGGAGCGTCTCTCTGCATTATCATACCCCTGTCATCTCAGGTCCCAAGCCCAGCCCTGGGCCTGGTCATCCTTACCTTCGCAGTGAGTGAGGTTCAGTCTCTTGTACCCCTGGGGACACTCCAACTGGCCATTTTCAATCACCGGGGAGGCTAAGGAGTGAAGATACAGACAGGTCTCAGTGGAGGGCCCTTGGGCTCCTCTGTCACCCATGCTGGGAAGTGGGGTGCAGTCTGGATGTCCAGCCCACTCTGCAGCTATGAGGCCCCAGCCCTCCCCAAGACATCGTCCTGGGCAGCTGTGCCTTCTTGGCCAAAATCCCTTCCCTGGCTCTCACCAGGCAACTCTCAGCGCACCTTGCTATGACTAAAAATGATACTAAGTGACTATATATCTTGTATATAGTTATTAGATACAGTTTATATTATGTGATATCAATGTTATATAACATAATATAATTATATATGTTATAATATATAACATAATACATAATATAACTTGTGATTGAACAAGTTTTATTTAATTTTTACTTTCTGTTTGTGAAATAACTACAGAGTTGCAGGAAGTTGCAAAAAATAGTACAGAGGTCCTGTGCATCCATCACCTACTTTCTCCTAATGGCTGCATCTTACACAACTATAGTTATTTTGTTAGTGTTTAAACATTTGGACATGACAATTCACAGTTGGGTTCTAAGTTTGGTTTCTTCTGATGTTTAATTTCAATGCTGCCATAGCTGACAAAGAATCTCAGATAGAGATGGAAGACGCTCACCATTGGTTGCGCTTATAAAACCATGATACTCATTCATTCACACTCACCAACCCTGTGATGCAATTTCAACCATGTTGACATTTGCTTAATAGAGTTTCATGTTCCCTAAGGTCAGTTAGTTATGCTGACAAATTCAAAAAAGTTAGGAAACTCGTTTTCATGTTTTTCAGGTGTGCAAATGAGCTGATTTACGGCAACAAATCACACAATGATGGGATTGTTTCCAACATCCATTTTTCAAAAGGCTCTCTCCCATCACGACTTGCTTGGAAAGCATCCCTGCTTGAAGATTATAATGAACAAAACTGGGCAGCAGTCTGAGTCCAGATGGACCAACCAGGCAATAACTCTCAGTACTTTGGTGCTGATAACTCCTATCTCGATTTCACAACATTCCCCTTTACTTTAAAGAGAGAGAGAAAAGAAGTGTGCATTAAAAACACACACACACACACACACACACACACACACACACAATTGACATCTAATAAAAACAGAGAAAACATCTCCATTACCTTGGAGGGACAGATTTATATGTCAACCTCCAAAGAAGTGCTTTGAAGATGTTTTTATTTAAATTTTTTTTTCTTCAAAAGCACTAGCAGATGGTATACTGCTGACAGCTACCTGTCATCAAAGGTAAAGGCAACAAATGTGGAACATCTATCTTTTTGTTTAAAAAAAAAAAACAAAACTCGTGTTTCAGTTTGATAATTTCCTTGTCAAGTTTTAGCCAGTAATTCCGAAGGGTACAGGGATTCTACAGATACTATTGCAACACGAAGTTCTGTAAAGATACCACCTTATTTTTGATGCCTTGTTTTATAAAGTTAACAGTGTGATGACTTTCTGTGGCAACTTATCTTCTCCTAGTTCTGACCCCCTTGTGGCATAGCTTGCCTATGAAGGCCGTGGTGAGGGGACATTATAGCCTTCTTCAGCTCCATTACCTGCTGGTCCTAGTATCAACCACTGAGCGTATAGAGTTATTGGGTAAATCTTATCTTTATTCAAGAAGTCATATATTGTTGAGAATATAGGTCTTCTATCTTCCATATAGATTCAGCCTTTAGTGGCTTACACAATAGATAGTTCTTCAGATATTTATTGCTGAAATAGATTCTTGCAAGTACCAAGAGAGGCGTTAGGAATACCTACAGCTTCATCCAATTGTACAGCAAAGCGTGCACTCACTCGGTATTCTTTCTGTATTTGTTTTTGGCATGCGGGATCTTAGATCCTGACCAGGGATCAAACCCATGCCCCTGCACTGGGAGCTCAAAGTCGCAACCACTGGACTACCAGAGAAGTCCCCCAGTGTTTTAAAATGTTTTTCTAATCAAGATAGATTTTAGTCCATCATTAGCTGTTATCTCTGGGCACATCATACACTGAAGGTGGGGTTTGGTATTAATGATGCTAGTTATAAGCTGTATTTTTGTATAGCCTTCTTGATCATCTGACTCCTGGGGTCCATTTTGGGTCCCATGTGAGAGGCCCTCATTACTTTTACCTTGGAATATGGCTGATGACGTATCAGAGGAGAATCGTCAGCCTTGCATTTTTGTTTTATTTTTTAATTTTTTAATATATATTTTTAAAATTTTAAATCTTTTTATTTTTTCCATTTATTTTTATTCGTTGGAGGTTAATTACTTTACAATATTGTAGTGGTTTCTGCCATACATTGACATGAATCAGCCATGGATTTATATGTGTTCCCCAACCCGATCCCCGCTCCCACCTCCCTCTCTATCCCATCCCTCTGGGTCTTCCCAGTGCACCAGCCCTGAGCACCCGTCTCACAGCCTTGCATTTTTAAATGATTGCACTTATTCGTATTATTTTAAGTCCTGTTTCTTTGCAAGAATGTTTTAGAGTCACTTCTCCATTTGGCGAGGGTTGCTTTAGTTAACACCAGACCACCTAACTGAAAAAACCCACAAGCCGAACACTGTAGTGCAGTCCGTGTTGTGATACCAAAGACAAACATGAGGAGGCGCTGTGTTCCCCTGGAAGGCCCACTCTTGCTTGAGGATGCTTGGGACTGCCTGACATAGAGACCAAGTCAAGTCATAAATTAGTAAAACTTCATTTTTTTTAAGGTTAAAGGACTGTAAATTGAAGTTGTTATACACACACACACACACACGTATATATATACATATATACATATGTATACACATTTGCCACAAACTGTCTTCCCCAGGGTTTGCAAGTCGTCATCCACATGGGGGAAAACAGCCTAAAAGGCCGCAGTGCAGAGATAAGCAAGGGATCTGGAAACGCCGACATTGAGAAGATGGATGGGAGTGAGGCTGGGAAATGTGTCTGGCCTGGCGCCTGGTGGCAAGAACTGAAGACAGGGAGGAGGCAAAGCACGAGGGGAAGCTGTTTGGGGAAACTCAAAAAGCTAGCTGATTTATGAGGAGCAGAAGGTGGGAAGGAATGGCGCGAGGCGGATGCCAGCGGGGCGGGAACATCTGGACGGCGCTTCGGCGGCGGGAGGCCTTCGGGGCATACGGTACCGCCTCTCACAGTAACTCCGCGAGGCAGGGGTCATTATCCCGTTAACAGATTAGGAAGGACGGTGAAGCTCAGAGGGGGCTGGGACAGGATTGCAACCGAGCTTCCGGCTGGCTGTGAAGGGCGCTTCCCCCACCCGGAGAGGAGGAAGCGGGAGCCCGGAGGCCAGGGCAGTAAGCTGGTGCCCGGAGGGAGAAGTTAGGCAGAACTTTAACAAAGGATTGTAAGTGAAGTTGATATATGTATACACACACACACACACACACACACACACACGTATACATATTTGCCACAAACTTTTTTTTTTTGCTTCTTTAACAAACAGGAGGAGTGGCGGAGAGCTGGACTCAGGAAGGGTGGACCCAGCCGTGGCACCTTCGGGAAACCCTGTGAACCCAAGGAATGTGTGAACTGAGAGCAGCTGAGCTCTTTCCTTAGTCTGGAAACACATGCTTTTCCGGTAAAGCACTTTCCTCCCCAGAGGACTCTGCCCTCTCACTGGCCTCAAGAGAAACCGTTGACTGGACAACCCTGGGGAGGGCAGGCTTCTGGAGAGAAACGCCGAAGCCAGGGTTCCTGGTGAGACGCCCACTTTTGCCAGGACCCTCAGCACCTCTCTTCACACCTCACAGAGGCCATGTCATCTATAAGGGGCTGCTTCCTAGCTTCCCTAAGGACAAGTGCAGCATCCGATCCAGAAAAATCTACTTATATCTCTTTGAGGGAAAGAAAACCAAAGTTCAGATGACCATGTGGAAGGGAGAGACCCTGGCTTGAGAAGAGAACTCAGCACCCGTCCACAGCTCTGGATACTTCGGCATTGATGGGGTAGGGCGGGTATCGCCAGGCACATCTCTCAAGTGCTCCCTGTGGCTGCCTGTTTGCTTGTCCATCTCCCCTGATAAAGTGTAAGCTCTTTATCAAGCTCCCCTGATAAAGTGTAAGCTCTGTGAGGACAGGGACCTTGCCTTCTCTGTCATTGCTATGTCTCTGGAAACATGCCCAGCATATGGAACAGTACAGGCACTCAATCAAAAGGGAATGAATAATATAATAGCAAGCATTAAAATGGCTCGTGGGCTTCCCTGGGAGCTCAGCTGGTAAAGAATCTGTCTGCAATGCAGGAGACCCCGGTTCGATTCCTGGGTCGGGAAGATCCCCTGCAGAAGGGATAGGCCGCCCACTCCAGTATTCTTGGGCTTCCCTGGTGGCTCAGTTGGTAAAAAATCCTCCTGCAATGCGGGAGACCTGGGTTTGATCTCTGGGTTGGGACGATCCCCTGGAGAAGGGCATGGCAACCTGCTCCAGTATTCTTGCCTGGAGAATCCCCATGGACAGAGGAGCCTGGTGGACTACAGTCCATGGGGTTGCAAATAGTCAGACATGACTGAGCGACTAAGCACAGCACAGCAAAATACCTTATACTATGGGCTAGGGCCTTTTATAAAGGTTTTACAGGTAATAACTTATTTAATCCTCATAACAGCCCTTGGAGATACTTACTAATCTTATCCGAAATTCCCAGATGAGTAAACTGAGGCATAGAGAGGTTAAGACACATGCCCAAGGTCACCCAGCTGGTGGATGGAACTGGGATTATGAATCTGCCTCCAGAAGACAAATTCTGAACCATCCCTCTACTAACTACAAATGAATGAATGAATTCATGACAAGCCTTAGGAGTTGTCTAGGACAAGAATCCTAGGGTCCAGAGGCCATATGGTGATACCTGCCCAGAAGGAAACGTGTCACTCTTCCTGGGATCTCCTCCTCTTTAAGAACAAGGGATCAGGAAAGTGAATGAGAAAAAAAGGCAGAGTCATCCTGAAGGAGGTCAGAGGAATTCATCAGA